CTTATTCAGACTTGAACCCCATCTCACCTTCAGATCGGGGCAGCAGTGTCGGATCGGGGAACATTTAACTAAATGAACCAGTACCACTATGTCAATAAGGAAAATCCATTGTTTTTGTTTCAAAAGAAATTGGTTTTAGCTGTAAATATTAAAGAAATTATTGTAGTTTTATTATGAAAACTTAATATAAGGTTGTCAAATATTTCCCTTCCGCTTTTTTGTCTTTTGAATTTCGCGGATATGTACAAAGCGCTACAGAGCTCGTATATGGCAACACTATACATAATTTGAAAGGTCTTGACATGACCTACAAAACAACGCTGGAAATTGCGTTCAACAGTTATAGACGTATAAACATGGAGTTCACTAACGCCGAAATTCGCGCTATTTTAAAGTTTTTCCTCGTTAAAGGCAAATCCGCTATAGAAACGTTCCGTGAGATAAATGGTGTTTTGGGGCATGGTACTCTATCACTTCGAACCGCGGAGGAATGGTTTCGACGATTCAGAGCCGGTGAAAACGACACCATGGATAAGCCAGCCGGCGGTAGACTTGTGACAACAAATACCGATCAAATCATGGAGTTATACCAGCATATGGCATCTCGTGACATCGCCCAGGAGATGACAGTTAATCACCAAACCATTTTGAACCATCTGCAGAAGGCTGGATACAAAAAAAATTTTGATGTTTGGGTGCCGCATAATTTGACGCAAAAAAACCTTCTGGACCAAATCAACGCCTGCGATATGCTGCTGAAACGGAACGAACTCGACCCATTCTTGAAGCGGATAGTGACTGGTGATGGCGACGAAAAATGGATCACATATGACAATATCAAGCGAAAACGGTCGTGGTCGAAGGCCGGTGAATCGTCCCAAACAGTGGCCAATCCGGGATTGACGGCCAGGAAGGTTTTGCTGTGTGTTTGGTGGGATTGGAAGGGAATCATCCACTATGAGCTGCTCCCATAAGGCCAGACGCTTAATTCTACCATCTACTGCGAAGAACTGGACCGCTTGAAGCAGGCGATCGACCAGAAGCGTCTAGAATTGGCCAACAGGAAGGGTGTAGTGTTCCACCAGGACAACGCCAGACCACACACTTAGTTGATGACTCGTCAGAAGCTAAGAGATCTCAGATGGGAGGTTTTATCGCATCCACCATATTGCCCGGACGTAGCGCCAAGTGATTACCACCTGCTCCTGTCCATGGCGAATGCCCTTGGTGGTGTGAAGTTGAACTTAAAAGAGGCTTGTGAAAAATGGCTGTCCGAATTCTTCGCAAATAAGGAGGGGGCTTCTACGAGGAAGGTATTATGAAGTTGCCGTCTAGATGGAAACAGATCATCGAACAAAACGGCGCATATTTTAACTAAATCCGATCACTGTAACACTCGATAAAAACTACGACAATACCAATTTTCGCGTTTTTCTCGTGGCGTGCTGGTTACCCATTATGCGGCGCAGCATATATATAAGTGTCGAGTGTAAAGCTCATTGACGAAAAATCTTTTGTATTTATGTGACTTGTTCTACCGCCTTTTTATTTGAAGACCACTTTCGTCTTTGTCAATACATTATAAGGAGGACAGGGTGTGTATTGTTACCTATACTTCAGGAGTTCAAATGATTTTATTACACCTTCTTTATGATTTTTTTATATCAGAATAGCAAGACTCGTCTCTTTATGCTATCCTGATAGTTGTTTTGTAATTTTTTAGACGATTGCCAAATCCCATTATTTTGTCTTCGATATATAGTTTTCTTTTGGTTTTCCGAAGTTCTGCAAGTTTTTTGTTTCAAGAGCAGTCTTACAGATTTTGGTAGAAAAGTGTACCCCATTATTAATTTTCGATTTTGATGGATCTAGCTTACCAAGAGAAAAAGACTTTGTGAAGAGTTGACCGCTTCATAATTTGTATGGTAATAAGCATTTGCTTCTTAAGATTTAATCTAATCAGTTTTGCTTGAGTGTTGTTAGTGTTGGTATCACTTCGTGGAGGTTAGAGTTTAATCCATAGCCCTTTTTGGCTACGACCCAAGGTTCCTGAATTAAAACGATATGAGGCGAAATACTAGCTAGTACCAGCCTAAGATTTGTTGTCCTTGGGGAAGGATATGATCGGTTGAAGACTGTACCGCCGAAGGTTTATACCGATAGAATGTAACTCTCGAATATGGACTTTTCAACAGCGCCAGAACATACTATATTAAATGAGGGAACACTTCTTCAATCTCCTACAGTGAAAGGGAGTTTCGATTGCCTGTTTAAAAATAACAAAGCGGGAGGAGCCGGTTACTTCTCGGAACAACTATTCAAATATGAGTAGTATAAAAAATACCCTAGAGTTTTCGTCAATTTCCGAAGAATTAGCCTACTTAATATCGCATGTGGGCATGATGGTTGCATAAACAGGTGTTGTACATTGCCAGAAGAGTAGTCAGATTTAGTTAGAACCACTCCGATCAATTAACTTTTATTTTTCGGAGATACGCGGCATTTGACATTGACATAGTTTAGTGAATATAGAGACAACTATTACTTAGGCTATTTAAAGTTCCATAATGTTACGATTTTACTAAATCAACCTCGATTATTTTCTAAATCCTTCGCCAATTCAATTTGCAGTATCTTTCGTTATAGAGAATTAATCTAATGTCCTTTATTTACTCCGTAATTCACAATTCAATTACCATACACTTAATTATTTACAATCACTATCATCAACTTTCACAATTTACTCTACTTAAATGCAATCCCAACACGTTTACTTTACGATTTCACTGATGTTAACGCCAACGAGTTTACTTTATCACTAACTTGACTTGCAGCTGAGTGTCGCCCTTATATAGCAGTCGGCTGCTCGCAGACGAAAGCGTAGAAGCATCGAATTGTTCGCTATGGAAGGTTCTTGTTTTATCGTTTCTAGAATGGTCTAGTTATCGGCTTCTCTCTTTCATCTGACATTCGCCTCGCATTTTCGCAACAATATATTCAAAAGCCAGCGGAAAAATATGTACTTACTGATTTGGAATAACGAATTTATATGTTTTTGTCATTCCTCTTTGTGTTTTTCGTACAATTTGACGTATCGTTAAGCTGTGGTGCCACCTTTCCTACATTTTAATAAAATGGAATTGTGCGATGTCGATTATCGTAACAACTGAGTTAGAGAATCGCATAATCGTTAGCGCAACCGACAAAATTCGCAACTTTGCGATCCGACAAATCGTGTCGATAAATGTTACAGAATTGCACTGCTGATTTCGAAAGCTCCCACTGTCACAGCACTATTGTATTGGGTTACATTCTTGTAGCTATTTTTACCGGGCAATGAAATGCATTTTAAAGCTTTGTTAAATAAATGAAATGTCAAAAGTTTCCACCGAAGCGAGTTAACTCAAACAGCTGATTTTTGCTTACATTTCTTTGCGAAATTTGTAACATGTTTTGAAATCATAAGAGACTGAATTCATTTTATTTAGCTATTTATGCAATCTTTTGATTAGCAATTGCAGATTATTGCTGCACGCACAAACGCTGCTGAAACGTTCATGCTTTTATGTTTGTTTTTTCTTTTTGACTTTTGCTAATTTGTTTTCTTAAATTATTTATTTTGCGCAATCAGCTGATAGTAGCCACAGCCAGGTATATTTTTATGTATAGGGTATAGTTTGTTTTTGCAGAAAAATTTCACCATACAAAATAAGTCACCTTCCTTATTACTCACTTTGAAAAGTGAGTAAACACATTTTGAAAGATGAGTTAACACACTTTTATACAACAACAAACACTTGAAAATTCATGCATTTAAATGCGATATTGAAAAGCATTTGAGCTAAGATGCGTTTAACGGCCAGTGGAAATAAACTATTAGTTGTATATCTTCTTTTATAATTGTGGTGCAATTCTGTATTTTTCATCGACACGATTTGTTAGATCGCAAGCTTGCGTTAACGATTATACGAAAAGCAAAAAGAGGAATGACAAAACAAATAAATTTGTTATAGAAATTATTTTTATTAAATGAATAGCAATGCATTACAAAGTTTATCAAATCAAAAACATGTTCTGGTTTGCACTTTCATGCGTAACTCTTCGCTCTATAGAGGAGATCCGCGTACTTGGCATTTGCCGCTGAAATCTTGCGATGAGGTTCACATATCCATTTACAAATATAATGAACTTTGTTACCTCAAAAGTAATTTACTCTCACCATTTATTTTTTGGTGGAAAGGTATTCATGAAGATTGACAGCGTCAATAGTTCCTCCTGCAAATGGCGACTACTTCTGTCACGCGATGAATACAAGAGCTTACGCATCGGTATTCCCTATTGCTCTCCGACGGGACGTTGGTAGCATCCAGTTGCAAAGAATCGCAAGGCGGCTGGAACTTCTAAACATTTGATAGTGTAAAAACTGAAAAAATATTTAAATGCTATATTACTACCTGTTTCTCCGTAGGTAATGCTGTTATTTTCTGCCTTTTAGTTGGCTATCGAAAAACTCTGTTGCATTCAAGTGAAAAGGGTCGTTTCTCGAAGCAATTTTCTATACAATGATGATGGGTAGGATACTTCTTCATCTTGGCATAAAACTTATAGCAAATGCTCGTTAAAAATTTTATTTTCATTTTTATGAAACTTAGGCAATTTCCCGATTTACTTTTTTATATTTCAACCTTAATGAAATGACAAAATTTTGTCGCTATCGTAACAACTTAAAAATATTCGTCGCTTATTGAGCGATTTGTCGAGTAGTTTACGATAAGAGCGATAGTGAATATCGCAAAATAAGTACAACGAATATTAAAATAGCAAGAATTATCGCTAAGACTTCTTGGCGATTCGAAAATAGTTACCACGTTAGAAATAGCGAATATCGATAAAATATTGGCTAGTCTTATATGCGATCCGAAAATCGTTATACAGGCTTAGAGAATAGCTAAATCGTTAATTTTCGATAGAGAATTCTTCTACTGGCCTTGATCTTTATAATCGATTACTCCGAGGAATTATAAAGAAATCGATGTTTTTTTATATTAATTAGTTCTACGTCAAATTGGCGAGTGTTCTCAAAACAAAAATTAAAAATGAGCTCAATTCACCGAGAAGGTGTTCAAAAACAAATTCATCAAGATTGGGCTAATCGGGAGTATATAGAAGTTATTACAGCAAGTATTAAAAGAATAACGGACTTCCTTAATTCATTTGGTTAGATATTATTCTATTTTCTCTTTTTATGTGAATTTTTTTTATAATGGTTTATTGAATATCCTCAAATTCGGGAATATTGTGATTCCACATTTTAAATGTTTTGAGTTAAGCAGAGTTGCTTACAAACATTTTGTTTGGCTGAATAGAATAATAATTGAGTATATTGTATGGACATACAAAAAAGGCTCAAGTACGGCCCGGTAAGGTGGGTGTGGTATGATTTTAATCGTTCAAAATATTCTCGGCTCAAACTTTTTCTGAATTTCGTTCTATTTATTATACGTTTTCCTGATTTTTTTTTGTTATAAAGGTGTGCAGTTCGCAAATGATGTATTGATAAGTTTGTAAATAACTTGCAATGTTTTATGGTGAAAACAGAGTGAACGCTACATCAAGGTTAAATGTCATTTTTTTTTGGTTGGTGTTTGTCAGTAGTTGTGTTCGTGAAGAAGTGATTGATGTAATGTTTGCAAGTCGAAGTAAATCTATTGATATTGTTTTAATCTTATTTCCATACTGTATTTCAAAAGTTTTGTTGTGTTTGGATATAACTTTAAATGGTCCTTCATAAGGAGGTTGAAGATTAGACATATGAATAACTTTAATAAATACATATTCACAAGTGCTTAAATTTTTAGGAATGAATCTATTTTGTTTATTATGATGTATTACTTTCCATCGAGCAAATGAGAAATGTTTTTTTTAATATAAAAAGATTTTCATTTGAAGGACATTTAAGATCTTCCTTAATCATTGTTTGCAAACCTAAAAGAATCCACAGTAAAATTTCAGACCAATGAACTGAATCATTTGATGCTGTAATTGTTGTTTTCAAAGTTCTGTGAAATCTTTCAATCATTCCATTTGACTGTGGAGGATATGGAGAAGTGTGTATTTTGTGAAAACCTAATAACTTTGTTAATTCATTAAATATTTTTGAAGTAAATTGTGTTCCTTGATCTACCGTTATATTGAGAGGGATACCGAAACGAGGAACATGATTTTGAACAAATGTAGTTGCAACAGAAACCGCTGCAATGTCTTTAAGTAGATATGCTTCCGGCCATCGAGTATGTCTGTCAATGAATGTTAATATGTATCGATTCTCCTTTGTAACTGTAAGAGGTCCTACTAGATCCATATGAATATGTTCAAATCGTCCAGAAGGAATATTAATCTTTTGAATTGGAGTTTTTGTGTTCTTAGTATCTTTAGATTTTTGACAGTTAAAGCAAGATGATCTCCAACCATTAATTACTTATATTATTAATATTAGGCCAAAAATATTGAGATTGAATAAGACGTCGAGTTGTTCGAACACTTGGGTGTGATAAAGAATGCATTTTTTTTTAAATAATTTTTCTCATTGAATTAGGAACATATGGTCTAAAAGGGGTTTGTGTAACATCACACCAAATATTGAGATTTAGAATAGGTACATTAATTTCTTTTAAATTACTATTGGCATTTGGATCTGAAATAATATTTTAAGTATTTTATCTTTTTGTTGTTCTTCGTAAAGGTATTGAAAGTTAATGTCTTTTGTTGAAATAGAATTAATTTCTGGGATATGTGAAAGAGTATCAGCTATATTGTTATCTTTACCAGAAATGTATATAATATCATTAGTAAATTGAGCACTATATTCTAAATGTCTAATTTGAAGAGGAGATCTATCTGCTTGATAATTTAGAACAGGTGTAAAATCAGTGTAAACAGTGAAAACTCTATCTCTTTTCTATCGAATGTGGAATAAGTAATTTCAGTTGGTGCTAATTTTCGCGAACAATATGCTAATGGCTCTAATGTGTTATGACTCGTTAGTTGTAAAAAAGCTCCAATAGCAACATTTGAAGCATCTACTGCAATTTGTAATTCACCGTTTATGTCAAAATGTGTTAATAAAAGTTTTTTTTACGAAAAACATTTTCAAAAGCTTGTGTTGTTTCATCTGTTCAATTTAATTCTTTAAATTTATTTTTTATTGTAAATGTTAAAATTTCATGCAGAGGACTTAATTCTACTGCTAACATTTTAATACATCTATGATGATAATTTAGGTATGGTAACTAAATATTTTTGTAATTTGTTAATCGACTCGGTTTTTCAAACTCTAAAATTGTTACACGTTCTAAAGAAGGTCTGATACCTTCACTTGAAATTTCATAGCTTAGAAAATTTAATACGTTCCAAAAACACATATAGCAGGTCTAAAATTTAAATTGTAATTTTCAAGTCTTTTAAATACTGATTTTAAATGTTCAATATGTTGATCTTCATTTTCACTAACGACTAGAATATCATCGATGTAAACAAATGCGAAATCTAATCCAGAAAATACTTAATAATAAATCGTTGAAATGTTGGAGCACTGTTTCTAAGTCCTCAGTCATTGGTATTTGTTGAAATGCACGAACTAAATCAATTTTTGAAAATATTGTTTTATCTTTTAAATCAATGTTTAAATCGTGAATGTGAGGTAATGTATATCTATCTGGAATAGTTATAAAATTAAATATTCTATAATCACCACATGGTCTCCAATCATTCGGTTCCTTTCTGCGAACTAAATGAAGAGGAGATGTATGTAGTATGTCAATTTGAAGATCGAAAAATACCAGTTTTAATTAAAAATTCGAATTCAGATTTTGCTATCTTTAATTTAATAGGATCAAGACGACGATCTGGTTACAAGTATTAATTGGAAATTCATTTAAAATGTTCGTAAATTTATTTTCAATAATGGGTATTCAAAGAGAGAGTTTTAAATTTTGTCGTTAAATCTGATATTTCTTTATTTTTGATAACTACTAAAATTCTTAATTTTTCTAAAAAATTAGCAGATGTAATTGGAGTTGAAATATCGGCAATAATAAATGGAAATTCGAAACCTCTTTTTAAACCTAAATCAAGTTTTGTTCCAAATGTTTCTATATTAGGTCTATTTGCAGCTGAAAGTTTAAGATCAGAATATCTTTTAAATGATTTGAATTTTGAAGAAGGTATAACTCAAACAATTCCGCCTGTATCAATCAAAAAATTTAATTTGTTAGATTTATCGAAAATAAAAAGGCGGCGTGTAAGTTTACTAATATTTCCATTATCAGCCACCGGCATAATGGAACGTTTAAAATTGCAAGGTTGAACCCATTTGAAGGCATAATTCTTAAATTTTTGATGGTACCAAGAAATATTATTTTGATTATTGTTATTTCTGGGTCTTGATGAATTTCTTGAACTATATTTATCTATAGATCTAGATCTAATTTGTAATTCATTAACATTTGTTGTAATTTTATTTAAAGTTTGATGTATTCCGGTTGTTAAGTCAGTTAAATTTTTAATGCATTGAAATTTATTAATTAAATTAGATTTATTAATTAAATCGAAAATTTTATCAACGAAAATAATAATTTCATCTTTATTTTGATTGATTAGAAGTTAAATGAATTTGAATTTGTTGAGGTAGTTTGCGAATCCATAATTTAAAAAGTAATTCGTGACTAACAATTGAATCTGAACCAGTTAACGATTTCATATATCTAAAAAGCTCTTTAAGGTAAACGATCACCAAGTTCAGTATTCGAAAATAATTATTCCAATCTCTTCTTCACTAAGAGAAAGTCTCTCAAAAAGAACTTTCTTATTTGTTTCATATTTATTCGAAAAAGCAGGTGTATTAATAACATCAATAATTTAGAAAATAGTTTCTCGTAGAAGAGAAATTAAAACATTTTGAAATTTAATTTTATCGCTGTGAATATTGTTAATTTCAAATTGTCCTTCAACAAGCAAAAACCATGCTTCAGGACATTCATTCCAAAAAGGAGGTAATTAAATTGATTTAGAATTCGGCCTCAAGATTTGTGAAATGTGTATGAATGTCTTGTGTTAAATTTTGTGTAGTATTTAAATCTGAATTAGCGCTGGTGATTTCGTTTTGTATTTCTGTTGTTGTAAAATTACGTGTTCGTATGGGTGTTCTATACATATTGGGAGGAGTTTACAATAACCTGGAAAAAATAATAATATAGATTTAAATTAAATTATTTAAACAGATTAAATATAATTTGTTACAAATAATAAAAACCTGATACTGATCTGCTGGATAATATTGTTGATTTTTGATATTCTTGATATTGATGGAAGTTAATTTCTTCAATTAAATTTCAAAATTGCATCCAAATGAAATTGATAAACTTCAACAAAAATTGGTGCACAAAATTTGTTGTTGGTTTGGATTGGACATTTTTCTTTTTTTCAATGTTTCTGTATGTTTTCTTCTCTTTATACAAGTATATTTTGATAAAAAGTTTTTAAAATTTTGATTTTGGTTGATTTTCACAATTTAAATTTTATAAAATTTTCGTTTTATTTGATTAATCACTATATTTCTTAGTTGGATCGATGCGTTGATCTTGCTAAAACTGATGTTTTAATGATCACAGATAATATGTATTGAAAATTGAAATTCTTAAGTTCGATAAATTTGTATGTAGCTCGAACAAAATTCGAAGAGCAGGATAGCCAATTACATAGAGCACGGCTTATTTAATTAGCTCTATATATATAAAACATAATTTTAGTATATTTACAGATAAAAAAATTATAATGATTCAGAAAAATGAAAATATTTGAAATTAAAAAATAAGTAACATATAAATTTAAAGGTATTGAAAATTGTAAGATACAAATGCTAAAGTAGATTCCTACAGGAGCGAAGGAAATGACGAATACGGGGTCATTCAACCACCAATGCTCATGTGTAACGGTATGAGTGAAGAATACCAACTCCTCGCCCAGGGAAAAACTAAGACTTGGGAGTTGTTAGGAATATTTAAGTGATTTCAAGGGTATATAACATTTCTTATGCAAATGAATTGCAAGGCGCCCGGGGGTGCAGAAGAATTTTTGAAATTTCTTTATTTCTTTATTGCTGACACCAAAGGGCAGGTAAAATTCGAAGAGCAGAATATATATATATATATATGTATATATATAAATGCATATCAAATTAAAGGTATTTTGTATATATATATATATGCTTAAAAGTTTTAAACAAAAAAAGCTGATGCTTAACTTTACTTACGAGCATTTGTTATTCGAATTATTACTTATTTACGGATTTAAAAAAAATTACCCTGGGGCGGACCTACATCGGTTTCACTTTGTACAGTATTCGTAAGTGAAACTTCTTTGTAAGTTGGAGGCCTTCGGTAACCCTGGGCCGAACCAACACCAGCTTCGCCTTGCACAGTATTTTTAAGTAAACACCTTTTAAGTTCGCAAGGGATGTTCTCGAAAACTATAAGTTACCTCCGGGAACGACATACATTTTTGGGATTTGTATCACCTCCTCTAACCACCGAAATACGTTCCAAAATATCAGTGTTTTCTTATTGCTTTGTAAATTCATAGAATGGAGGGTTGCATTGTAACGAAACGGTTGTGCAAAGGCATCATTACAAAGTATTTTGACGTTTTGAAACTCAACCCATATATTTCAGACCTCTCATCACGACGTTATCATGTCGTTATTTGTTTCGAATTTAAGTTATTAATTATAAAATGTATTTCCGCAGGTATCTAATAAATCTAAGGCATTTATTAATTTCAGATATGTCGTGCCGCTCCCGTCTGGCTGTTCTAAACGAAAAACTATCAACCTTGGAACGTCGAATCGATTATTTGGAAGCATGTGTAACGCAAGGAGAAACACTTACGTAATTGTTAAGTTCAAATTTTATAAAATAAATATTTTTTAAAAGAAAAATAAGAATGTTTTAATTTTCAAATGTATTCAATTGGTTTAAAATATAATTAATTTAGTGTATAATATTTTATTTATTTTCTTAAGAGCTTTTGGATCTAATTTAAATGTATTGGATCTAATTTAAATGTATTGAAGCTGATTCTATATATTTAGAATACTTACATTACTGGCGTAGACACCGCTTACGCGGTTTATCCGATTTAATGACACTGCAACATTCGTTTCTTCTTTTTGCTGTTTGGCGCCACCAAGTACAGCCTGGTCCTTCTCTACTTGGTCTTTCAATCGGAGTGGAGGTCTTCCTCTTTCTCTGCTTCTACCGGCGGGTACTTCATCGAAAACTTTCAAAGTTGGAGTAGTCGCATCTATGATCCATTTGCTTCGCTTCTTTATCAAGCCTGGAGAAAGCAGAACTAACGACGCGGTTGTTGAGGCCGATAATGTCAATGTCATCTGCGTACACCAGTAGTTGTACACTCTTATAAAATATTGTACCTTCTCTATTGAGCTCTGCACCTCTTATTATTCTCTCCAGCATCAAATTGAAGAAATCACACGACAAAGAGTTACTCTGTCTGAAATCTCGTTTGGCTCGCGTCAGCTTACACAGCCGCTTAAGTTTTGCGGGGATCCAAACTTTGATATAGCGGGTAAAGGCAGCTCGTGTTGTCGAATGCGGCTTTAAAATCGACGAAGAGGTGGTGGGTGTCGATCCTCTTTTCACGAATCTTTTTCAAGATTTGGCGCATGGTGAATATCTGGTCAATGGTTGACTTACCAGGTCTGACGCCACTCCGATAAGGTCCAATCAGTTTGTTGACGGTGGGCTTCAGTCTTTCACACAATATACAGACCATATTCTGCAAAGTAGATGCAAAGTAGATGACCTTGTCAGCTCTTCACCGCTATGTTTGAATAGTTCTGTCGGTAGGCCGTCAGCTTCCGCCACTTTGTTTTTTTTTAAGCGGGCGATTGCTATTAGAAATTTTTCACGGTCAGGTAATGGAACGTCTTTTCCATCGTCATCGATTTCGGGTTCACCATTTCCGGATTCTCCATTTTCACTACTATTCAGCAGGTTCAATATACTCTGGTCATCGGTGGCTAGATCAGCACTTTGAGTCCTACAAGCGTCTGCTACGGTCTTGAAACCGTACTAACCTTCCGTAAGTCGTGGTATCTTTTCGTAGAATTTTCGAGCGTTACCTTTGTCGACCAGCTTCTCAAGCTCTTCATACTCACGCATCTCGGCCTCTTTCTCTTTTTGTCTGCATATGCGTCTTGCTTCCCTCTTCATCTCTCGGTATCCCGCGCGTGTTGTGGTCGATCGCAGGATTGCGAGTTAGGCAGTCTGTTTTCTCTCCACTGCGACACGGCAGTCCTCATCGTACCAGCTGTTTTTGCGACCTTTGCGAAATCCAATAGTTTCGTGCCGTCCCACAGTTCCCATATACCGAGTTGCTGATGAGTGCTCTCAGAGAGCAGGAGTCCAAGTTGAGTGGAACTTTCTTTGTGTTTGTTGTCGGGCGTTCCTTAGAATACTAGATATTTAAAATTCTGAAATCGGGTTGAATCGAGCGTTCCGCGTCACGTAAATTTAAATATTTGGCATTACGCCATACGTGAACGTTGTACTCGGTATGATGCGTTCCGAAAGCCCATACGTTAACGAGTATTTTGTTAAGAATGCAATAAAAATGTAAGTAATTTATTTTAAAATATTATAAAAAATATGGTTGAATTATTAAAATTATTTTAAGACAAATGCAAATAAAATTAACGCGTCACTAAAGGAATTCGTCTCTGAATTGATTGGTCACATACAAATTTAATTATTGCCAAACTGCACAGACTGCACTGCTAATAATTTACGAGAGGAGTTGAAACGGAAGCTCCATATTCTTGGCCCGTTAGTTAAGGATATCAAAGCGTGAAAGAATGTAAACAAACACAAATTTTCCTTTAATTCGAAAATTTTCTCAACGTTATATTTTAGGTATACGCTTACCAAAAACTTCGAGAAAGACAAGTGCGAATCAAAATCCAATTTCCGCAGTACGACTGCCGATACGTTCACGGAACGCTCGATTCGACCCCTGAGTTGTTGATAAATTTCGCAGTAGAAACCCTGTAATTTTATGGCAGTGACTTCATTTTCAAATATAAAATACAATAGTAAGGAGCAAATGATGCTAAAACATCTTTTACCCCCACGACCAGATTTCCTCACCAAGGTCCTCAATTTGTCTTTGACCATCCTAATGATAATGATGTGTTGAAAATGGGTGGGGTGGTGCCGCTACACAAGTCTAGGAAACCAGATAACAAATGAGAAGGCATTTGAGGCCTTGCTGCTCTCGTCTATCTGTACCGCCCTAGGCTTTCTAGACATAAATACATACTATAAGCTCGGCATTTCATAATGTTTCCTATTACACAATAGTGAAAAGTCTGGAAGAAGCTCAAGTAGAGTTTCTCATCCTACTATGGATAAAAAATCTATAGTAGGCTGATAAGGAAGCTAATTGTAGAGGAAAGGATGAAAAAGGCCAGTAGTTCTCTTAACGCGTGTAAAAGGATGCTGAGTATCACTTGGGGCTATCCCTTGGCCTTCTGCATTGGTGTTACACAGCGGAAGTTAGGCCGATATTTCTCTACGTCCCTCTGGTGTGATGGATCGCAGTCAACAAAATTTCGTATAAGAAACCTTTGGAGCGAATTTAACGGTTCCCTGCTGCTCGATTTATTTAAAATAAGTAAATTCTTTCCGTTGCTTGTCGCCCAGCCTTATACCTTTCTGATGTACAAAAGAGCGTCGCTCTGACGAGAAAACCGATAGTTGTTGGGTGATTTTAACGCAGACCACAATATTTGCGATACTAACTTGTCAAATGACCGTTGAGAAATGGAGTCGACAGAACAAATAGACTATTCTACATTCTGGACCACAACAATTACAAGCAATTACCATAGCTTGCCAGATATTACAACTACTAATGCTGTATTCCTATCTAACCTCTTTTTCGATAAAAAGTCGTGACTGCTTCCGCTCGTTTCATATCAGTTGGCCGAAATGCGGAAATCCGCAAAACTTTCCTGCCGAAGTCAAGGCGATCTCGGAGGTCCACAAATCAGGGAATTCAATGTGGAGATTCGGCCAATGGTCGATTAGTGCAAGCGGAACAAGTGCGGGCAATCTTTCTTCTGACGCAACCAAGCTTCGGACCACACTCAAGTCGTTGTCGAATCTGATGGGACGTAATGAGCAGATGGAAAATTCTTTCGGTGACCACCCTTAGTCGGAATAGTAGAAGTGAGCAAGCGACTTTCGCTAAATATGCTTCGGATCAGAGACCTGCCTTTTGATGAAATATACTTTTTCTTTTTTATAGCGCGCCATTCATCCCTTTTTGCGCTGTTTGGCGCTAGTTACAAATACCAAGTGAGGTCAGGCCACTCTCCACCTGATCCTTCCAACAGAGTGGAGGTCTTTCAAAGCTGGAGTGCTTTCATCCATTCGTACGACTTGACTTAGCCAGCGTAGCCGCTGTCACCGAGAGAGGACTTTACTTTTCAATTGCCTACTCAGTCCAAAGTAGCACCTGTTGGCGAGAGTGATTCTTTGTTAGATTCCAAGGCTGACATTATTGTTGGTGTCGATGCTGGTTCCTAGATATACGAAATTATCTACGACTTCAAAGTTATGACTATCAAGAATGACGTGGGAGCCAAGTCGCGGATGCGATGACTGTTTGTTTGATGACAGGAGATATATCGTCCTGTCCTCGTTCACTACCAGATCCATTCGCTTCGCTTCTTTATCAAGCCTGGAGAAAGCAGAACTAACGGCGCGGTTGCTGAGACCGATAATGTCAATATCATCGGCATATGCCAGTAGTTGTACACTCTTATAGAATATTGTCCCTTCTCTATTCAGCTCTACACCTCTGATTATTCTCTGAAGCATCAAATTGAAGAAACCACACGACCTGTCTGAGACCTCTTTTGGTACCAAACGGCTTGGAGAGGTCCTTCCCAATTCTGACTGACGAAGAGGTGGTGGGTGTCGATCCTCTTCTCACTGGTATTTTTCAAGATTTGGCGCATGGTGAATATCTGGTCAATGGTTGACTTATCAGGTCTGAAGCCACACTGATAAGGTCCAATCAGTTGGTTGACGGTGGGCTTCAGTCTTTCACACAATATGCTCGACAGTACCTTTCATGCGATATTAAGTAGACCCTTTTTGTGGATTGGGCAGAGTACACCGCCGCCTTGTTGTTTTTTCAGCGGGCAATCACTATTCGAACTTCGACATGGTTAGGCAGCGGAACGTCTGATCCATCGTCATCGATTGGGATTTCAGGCTCACCATCTCCATCACCATAAATTCAGTATACACTGGGAATCCGTCACTAGATCACCTCTCCGGTCTTGAATCCTTCTGTAAGTCGCCGTATCTTCTCATACAATTTTCGAGCATTACGCTTGTCGACCAGGTTCTCAAGCTCTTCGTACTCACGCATTTCGGTCTCTTTCTTTTTTTGTCTGCAAATGCGTCTTGCTTCCCTCTTCAGCTCTCGATATCTATCCCACCCCGCACGTGTTGTAGTCGATCGCAGCGTTGCGAGGTAGGCAGTCTGTTTTCTCTCCATGTAAGTTCGACATTCCTCATAGTACCAGGTTTTTTTTGCTACTGCCGAAAACCAATTGTTTCCGTAGGGGCGGTGCTCAGTGAGTTTTAGATGCCGTTCCACAGTTCCCTTATATCTTTGCGCTGATGAGTGCTCTCAAAAAGCTGGTGTGCAAGCCGATGATGCTTCTAATGAGCGCTGCCTCCGCCTGGTTATCAAATAGGCGACTTCAACGTCAAAATAAGAAATTTTCGGCACAACTGTAGGAAAACTCGGCCTCCATGATAAACTTCGGAGAGTTTTAAATATGGTTGTCGGAAAAAGTAGATTACTGCACAATAACATTCATCAAACTTGGCTGTATCCAGATCGAAAAACTGCTCTATCATGTTGTGATAGACGGAAGGCATGACTCCAGTGTTTTATTTGTGTGTACGTTCCGAGGTCGTAATATCGACTTGGATCACTATTTTGTCGCAGCTAAAATTCGCGCGCTCCTCTGCGTATCGAAGAACGCCCGACAATAAGCACAAGAAAGGTTCAGTGCCGACAAGCTGGAATCACAACAAGCAGCCGAACGGTTTCGCACACCTGGTCTCTGAAAGCTGTCATCAACTTGATATATGGAAACTGTGGAACGGCATCTGAAACTCCCTATCTACCGCTGCTACAATTAAGTTTCCGTAGTGCCAGAAAAAGAGCTGGTACGATGAGGAATGTCCAACTGCAGTGAAGATACCGGGAAATGAAGAGGGAAGCAAGACGAAAGTTCAGGCAAGAACAGAAAGATGCTGAGTTGCGTGAGTATGAGGGGTTTGAAAAACTGGCCACCAAGGGTGATGGCCGAAAGTTATATGAAAAGATACGACGGCTTACAGAAAGTTTCTATATCGAGGCAGACTCTTGTAGGATCCAAAGGGATGATCTGGTAACGGAAGCCCAGAGTATACTGAATTTATGGAGGGAACTCCTCTCGAATCTAAGTTGGAAAATATGTTCCACTATCTCCCTATGTCGAGGTTCGAAAAGCGATTGCCTTCAGTTTCAGATATGTTGACTCCTTAATGTGTGGTTTCTTCACTTATATATATATATAATTGCCTCTTTTTAACCGCTGAAGCGATTTTTCGGGCGAGCTCCTCATACAATTTGTGGTTTTGTGTCTTGATATTTTTCCAACAAATGTGGGGACCTACAGTTTATACTAAGTGGCCTCAGAGCTGCTGTTGGTTTGTTTTTACGAGAAGTCTTTATTTCATGTCCACTCGATGGTGTTCATATTCCCTGCCGAGGGGCGACCGCAATTAGATAATTTAACTTAATTTTTTATTTAAATTAATTTTCTTTAACTTTTGGATGTTGGTCGCATGAGGATTTGAATCTGAGCCCTCCGAATGCAGTAGGCAATGCTAACCACACGGCTACCGCGGCACTTTTATGCTGGAGAAAATAATAAGAGTTGCAGACAAGGTATAATCTTTTACAATAGTGTACAATTACTGGAGTATTCCGATGATATTGATATCATAGGCCTTAACTACTGCGCCTTTTGCTTTCTCCAGACTTGATGAAAAAACGAAACAATTGGGTCTGGTAGTGAATGAGGGCAAGACGATCTCTTGTGATCAAACAAACACTCGTCGAATTCGCCTCTCCGCTCCCACGTCATTGTTGACAGTCATAACTTTGAAGTCGTAGATAATTTCGTCTATCTAGGAACCAGCATCAAAACCTATAATAATGTCAGCGTGGAAATCCAACGCAGAACCACTCTTGCCAAAAGATGCTACTTTAGACTGAGTAGGAAATTGAAAAGTAAAATCACCTTGACGAACAAAACCTAAACTTTACAAGTCGCTCTTCATACCCGTTTTACTATATGGCGCAGAAGCGTAAACGATGTCAACATTTGATGAGTTGCCTTTGGGAGTCTTATGGTTTTTTGCGCATTGGCAACGGCGAACACCGCCGACGGTGGAACGATAAACTGTAAGAGTTCAGCGAACGAAAGGACAGCGGCAATGATGGCTAGGTCATGTCTTCCGAATGTAAAGTGCAGTGAAATCAGATGAAAAAGAAGAGACTTCCGTTGGAAGGTGGAGAGTGACGTGGTTTCACTTGCACTTGGTATTTCCAACCGCCGCCAAACAGCGAAAAGAAGATATTTTATAAACATATATTTTACTTGATATCTGTTAAACAATTTACTGTTTAATTAATTGAAGGAATTTTTATTCTCTTTTTATTCTTGGTAAATTGGGATTAATTTCAAATAATTTTAAGAAAAACCAATATTTCGATAAAAAAATAGTATATTTACATCAGTTGAATAATAAATAAAAGCTCGGCGAAAGTTATGTGAGACGAAAAGTTAATGCAAACCTCTGTTAAGACACAATTTTTAAGTAATATTTGTTCCATCAAATTTTATATCAGATGGCCATATTTCCGTAGAATTACTTCCGCTGGGAGTGGGGACGCCATCGGTGGAAAGCAGAAGCTTGGCTTTAATTGTTTTTTCTTTTAGAAAACATCAATTTTCCATAACTCACCTGAATATGTGCTGAGACAATAAAAAATATTAATATAATTTAAACAATTACGTTTTACTTCTCTACATAGTATTAAATTTAATTTTTTAAGTATTAATTTTTTTGGGTAAAAATTAGTGTACATACACAAATGTGTAAGAACAAAAGCTGTTTGGAAGCCACATGTTATAGTTCTTTCCACCTAATAAACTATATCTGTACAACATAGAGTTGGTAGAAGTTGATACCAAGTTACACCTTTAGTAAGACATGTTTATTCCGACTAATTTTTAAAAGCCATAGTTAAAAATATCATATAAAAATGAAGTTTGGTTGTTTTTAGCAGTTGGTATTTCTATTGGAAGATATCCGTTCTAAGCGTTTTGATATTTCTTAAGAAGCATAGCCCACACATCCGGGTATCTAGTTTGCAAAAAATTTGTTAATTTTTGCGCATTTTGAGCTTGTTGAGGTGAGCAATTGCGACAGTTCCTTAAGATAACTTCTGGTAAGGCGGCTGAAATAAAAGAAAAAAAAAATCGTTTAAAAAGTATATTTAAGTTATGAAAATATTTATACATATGTACTCCGAAATTACGTTAAATAAAATCTAATGCAATGGTATGGCGTTGCTTCCGAACAGCTGAAAGATCTTTATTTTACGTCGGAAATACATTCCCTACAGAGAGGTGACCTCAGTTATAAAACTTATTTAAATTTTTTATTATTTGGGAAGTTGATTGTGCCACAGTACGCACTTCTAACAACTTTGCTAAATATGGGTGAGTTCCAAAACGTCAGTTACAAAACAACCATACATTGTCACGCATTCCTAAATACAACTGTGCAATCTTTGACGATGTATCATGTTCCAAAATTCATCGGTAAAGTTATTGAAGCTCAAACAAAAGCAAACTGCGCATCGCGGTTTGTGATGCTTTATTTCATAAATACATACATCATAAATTCTTGGCAACAACGGCCGACGTCGGACGGCGAAGAACGTTCGGTTCAGAAAGTTAATCAGGAATCAAGGCACAAAAAATAAAGTACCACAATACATGCATAAATAAGATTATTTAAGTCTTGAAATGTTACTCCAAAAAGAGTACTTAAACATTCTTTTTTAATTGATTGAACAAATTACAACTGGCAAAAATTGAAATACCGTTTTTAATACGTTGTAAAGGATTTTTTTCACGAAAAAATTCAACTGCTACTACAAGCTGCCATCTTAGGAGTTTCATAGCTACCACTTTGGGTAAGAGCGAGTTCATTGCCCAGGTGTGAGTAAGATTGGCCTTGACTTCCTATGAGTACCATGTTACATTGCAATGTGCACTGAAATCATTTTGTCACCATGCGAAGTATTTATCTACTAATCTGCTTATGTTGCGATATGTGGGAACAATAAAATTAAGCTTTAGGCGGCAGTAGAAAATATTATAGAAATGGCTTTTTCTATATAAAAATGGCGTTTGGTAGCCGCTGAAGCGATTTTCGTCCAAACTCGTTCTCCAATTTGTGGTGTGCGTCTTGATGTTTTTCCAACAAATGAAAGGACCTACAGTTTGTACTAAGCCGCCTTCTAACTGCGATGTTTTTTTACGTCAGAAATAGAATCGAAGATGTTAACACTCCCTGTCGAAGGGTGATCGCAAGTGGGAAAATTAACTTGATTTTTTATTTAAATTAATGTTCCATAATCCTTGGATGTCACTCTATTTTGTAATAGTCACGACTAAATCCACTTCAATTTCTTGTGTTTGGATTATCACATATGTATTATAATATTTTTATTTTTAGTACATGTGAGATAATTTTCTTTAACTTACTGGAAAATATTGTCTACCAAATTTGCCGCATAACATAAAAGATAATACGATTTTAATCTTTCAAAATCGACGTCGGTGCACCAAATGAAATCTTAAAAAATAAAGCTATTGCTGAATATGCTTCGATTTTATTCAAAAATAATCGAAATTCTAACTGAAGACTTTTGGGTTTCCATTATCTATGAAAATTAGTGATGAAGTTTCTAGCAATTGCTTCATAATCGCAGATATATTGATGAAGCTAATTATGATTCGAACTCAAATTCAACCCCACAGCCATTCATTCACCATTTCTTATATTTTAGCTCTACATAAATCCGGTAGTAGATCTTCTATAGGAGATTACAGGAAGAGTGCAAAGTTATGTTCTGTCGCCAAAATTTCCGAAGCTATTATAACAGATCAATTAGCCCATTTAGTGTAATTAATAATGGTTTCAGAAATGGTTATCAAACTGATGTTATCTATACCGACTTCAACAAAACATTTGGCAAGGTCTCTCACTCTTTATTTTACTTTAAACTTGATCATTTGGGATGTCCTCCTATCTTTCTCAAGTGCACTGCGTCGTACTTGATTTGTAGAAAACATATTCCATCACTTTATTCATCAATGAGGTTTTTCATTCTAAAATACTCATTTAAGAACATAATGTCAATCTCTTTAGATCAGATCGTTCTATTGAAGATAGAGAGCTTTTGCAATTTAAACTACATGATTTAGTTAGTTGGAGTGATGCGAACTGTACGTCTCAAAATGTACATAAGCACAAATATATGTGTTTCTCTAGGAAATCTTTCCGCCCTTTGCCTGTATTATATTGTACATAGTCACAATGCTGGACAAGTTGCTGACTTTATCCATTTAAATGTCACAATGAACCTTAAGCTAAATTCCGCATAAGAACCTACACTGCATAGTCGTAGAACGTTTCTTGAAGTTTTATTTTTAACTAAATTGATAAAAGGTATTATCCATAGCCCATTCTAATTTAGCGAGCTTAACTTTACCATCCCCTTAAGATCATCTATACACTTTAGGCCCCTTTCATTGTGTCCATGTAGAAAATATTTGATATGCACGACACTTTTAGATGATTGTGTAACGATTTTAATACTCATTTCACCAGTATTGATTTCTCTGACTCATTTTTCTGTGTCAAAACCTACATACTAAGAGCTTTGAATGAATAAGTAATTTCCTTCTCCGAACAAACTGTCACTGGGTTTCAGTTACCGGTCTGTTGGATTTTTCGATTACACTTCAGGAGTACTCCTCGGTCGGTTAGGCGGGATTATCCACCCTCGCAAGTTTTAGAATAATTTCGTAAAATATTTCTGAATAAAACTGAAACCATTTTCATACAAAAAGAAATTTATTATATCCGTTAGAATTATTAATTTGAATTCTGTGAATTAAGTAAGTATAAAAAACTAAATTTACAATTTCTTTATGAAATTAAATATCTTTCATTTATTAGGTCATTAATTTATCCATGAGGTATTTTATCGTGATGTCTTTCTATACACCTAAACACGAATGTATGTAAGTTACAGTCCAATTTTTCAACTGTTGATAATCCATTCCTTACTAGATAATCTGCCGTGGTGAAATTTGAGCCACAAATTTCAAATATTTAAACTTCTGTTTCTTCGAGTTTCATTAACTCTTGTACAAGTAAGTCACAAATAATTACTCTAATGCTAATTTGTTTCTTTTGAAGGTTACCAATAACTTGAATTCTAGCCCACTTGGTCTTAAGCAAGTATGTAGCTTCACCGCTGGCAAAGTGCCAATTCATATAGGAGTTGAAACGACCTAATCGCGATTGGGACAACAAGTAAATTTAGTACGGATGTTGATTACACATAATGAAATAAGAATTATACTTGTCCGAGATGATAAAATAGTGAATGAAAATACTTGCAATGTCTATTGCGAACAAATTACATACGTTTTGTTTTCAAAGATAGAGCTTGTCGTATTTGACGGGTCATGCTCGGGAAGAGAGTTAATGAATTTATATATAATTGCATCTTTTTAACCGCTGAAGCGATTTTCCGGGCGAGCTCCTCATACAATTTGTGGTTTTGCGTCTTGATGTTTTTCCAACATATGGAGGGACCTATAGTTTATAGTAAGTGGCCTCAGAACTGCTGTTGGTTTGTTTTTACGAGAAGTCTTTATTTCATGTTTACTCGATGGTGTTCACATTCCCTGCCGAGGGGCGACCGCAATTAGATAATTTAACTTAATTTTTTATTTAAAGTAATTTTGCATAACTTTTTTGGATGTTAGTGGCATCAGGATTTGAACCCGAGCCTTCCGAATGTCAGTACGCAATGCCAACCAATCGGCTACCGCGGTCGCCGAATACGTGTCTGTATTTATGTGAGGATGTACAGACGCACATATGAACTTTTTTCTAATGTGGGATAAACGAGCTTATTGAAATAAAGAAAAACATATTACCATATTAAAAATATGTTGACTAAACCTAAGGCCTAAGTAAATATACCGATTGCAGACCAAATTGTGCTTTTGTCGCAAAATATACATACATACATGTGTATGTACATAATAACTTGTGTGTACATTCATTTTGGTAGCCTTGCACTCATTTAGGTAGTTTTCTATGGAAGAATACTTTGATTTACGTTTATTGAAAATATTGAAATTCTATTCAAAAACCATTATTAACATTTCTCAACATGGTATAAAAATGTATTTTCGTTGAACCTGAATAACATGTAGAGAATATTAAAGAAATTCATCTAGCTGCAAAAAAATAATATGCGTCACGTTATCAATTTTAGATATGAATTTAATTAACCAAGCTTTGGCAGGTCATACTTTGCTCAACATTACTGCTAAGATGGAAACAAATTGTAATTGGGCAGCATTTATTTTAATCACAAGTTTTCTGTTTAGTATGAAAAATTGCATTCTTACCTTTAAGCTGCCTTCCCAATTGATCACAAGGACTTTTCTCCAAAACGCACATAATTTGCCTGCTGACAATCACTTGATTGTTAAGAAGCTTATTTATATTTTTTTCATCAGAATTAACCTTGGAAGTGCAAATAACTAACATCAAAAAAATGCATTTAATCCCAGTACTTCTTAAAAAACTTGAAACTTTCATTGTAAAAATATTCAGTTTATTCCTATTATTGTGGAATTGGTCTATTCAAATGAACTTGAATCCCGAATGTTCAAGACAATTACGAATTTATGGATACATACGTACATAGGAGTATGTACTCGTTTATTTTCAATAGTTGGAGATATAGTGCGCATGTCCTTTCAAGTAATATATACAAAAAAAATAGCTATTCGGTACTCAGTAATGTAAGTAATTCAGTATTTAGGTTAGGGTTAATTTAGCTTGAAATTTGAATATCTGAATGTTACCCGAATATTTTTGACATTGAAATGTTGAAACGTAAGCCTTTTAATTCCTCTGCTTTATCTCGAGAACTAATAAGGAATTGAAATCATATGATTAAAGGTGAGAGGAAACTTTGAACTTTCTTGCTCCAATTACATTTCCGAATTTGTTTGAAGTAAGCCCGTGAATTCCGCTCGGTAAAGTTAATAGCGCCAAGTGATATTCCTCATTTCTTTTTTTCCTTTAATTTTAATTTTATCTTCCTTACCTTTCCTTTCTTTCCTTTTATTTGACTTAATTTTTCTCGCTTCTCAATCCTTTTTTCTATTCTATTTACTATCATATATCCTCTTAAATTTATTAAACCAAGCTTCGAAGTTTTTACTGTACTTCGGTTCCCATCAAAAGATTTGAAATATTTATCAACACTTTGCAACCCTTTAATTATATCATACATATTTAGTAAATATTTAGAAAATTTTGGTAAATACGTTATTCCATTTGTTTGATTTGTTTGGGTTGGCGAATAAATATAAATACTATCTAACATGCTGATTAGTATGTATATACTTCTTAATCGATTGCAGGTACTTTTCAAATACCGCATTAAATAATAGCGTCACTATTTGTAAGTCAGCAAGATTGGGTTAAAAATTTAACTCAACGTTTTGTCTCTGAGGTATCGAGTAAAACAACGTTCTGTATATCCTGGAAATAAATATAACAAAGTTGACTACCAAATTTTTAAATACTGATTCGGAAGACAAACATTTCATTGAAAATAACGTGCATAATTAGTTCTTTTGCAGTGAGTAACAATTGATTAGCACATCACAGCATTTTTATAGGCAAGTAAGTAAACATGTTAAAAATTCCAATTTATGGGTATGAAGCGAATATTAGAGAGACAATGAAAAGTACTATGTCCATCAAAATTGCATCGCAGTTCTTAAAAATCCATTAAGTATACATGTGAGTATATGCATGACTCGTGCACATGTTTGTATCGCTATTGGCTCGCCTACATACTTATGTATGTATGAGTTTTAAATAACTATCAATGATATGAATACTATTGGAATTTTAAAAAAGTGTTATTAGTTTCTGCTTGATAAATAAGTATAAATATATATTTACATATATAAATACATGTATATGTATTTCCATGAAATAAAACGAGGACATCAAGAAAAATTTAGTTTCTAAAAATCGTATAATAATATGAGTTAATTCTTATGTCAGTTATCCGCCTACATAATTTTTATTTCGTTTCACTAATTATCATTTTAATTATTTCTTTTTATCTGAGCATATATTTTTTACAGTATTTTTTGAAATCATTAAACTAAGTGTCGCCAAAAATTATTAATTTTTTGCGAAGGAAATATTTACACTTAATTAAAACAATTGTTAGTTTATAATACAATTTTAAGCGATCAAATATGATGTTTAACCTCTCTGACGAAATTGGTATAATTGAAACATCCTTCAGCAATTTGTAAGGCCTTTGGGTGGGTCGATAAGGTGGAAACTTACTTTGCACTGCTCAATTCATTCCAGAAATTACTACCTAGTGAAATTTATCATACCTTTAAGACCATCTTCGTGCCAAACTAACATTGAAATATTAGTATCATTTTAGATGATTGTGTAACGATTTCAATACTCATTCTGACAGCATTGATTCCTCCGACTGGAGGTAGCTTTAATTTCCTTCTTTTTTTCGTGTAATCTATAGCAACTGATACCCAATTCTGTTGTTGCTTTGAGTAAGTGGTAAGCGTTATCGAGACCATTCAGGATCGCTCTCGAGTTCGGGGCAATCTGAACTGTCTCTGGTATTCGGTCAACGGTCTGGTAGTTTTTTCAATTATCCTTCAGGCACTCTTTTTAATCGGTTTTGCGGGAGGTAGGTAATGTCATAAAAAGGTAAGCCGAACGCATTTATTCTAATCTAAGGCATGCTCACCACATTACCTTTCAACCGCTTTTGGTGCAACAGCTGTAAAACTCATAACAACTTGTAGAAAGGGAAATAGGATTTTTCGAGTAACTATGTTCGGAGTCCAATTTTTGGAAGATAATGCGTATGGTGATAATCTTAGTGAAAAACCAGCCATGTGCCAAATTTTAGGTAAATTTAACCATAAATACCAAAGTACCGTGAAAGTTTTCATGTTTTTTGTGTAATGGCAAGCATTTGAAGAGAACTTTTTTTTTTTTACCAATAATACAACTTTATTGTTCATAACATATGTTTAAAATAACTTATCAACAATTCCCTAAGTGTTTCTCTTTAAAATATTATTTTAAAGATGTAGGAGACAGAAAAATAGCTCTTAAAGTTTAAAGCGCTGCATCTCAGAAACTTTTATTAGAATCGTTTTGAAAATTTAGGATGCTATTTTTTAGATGTTACCCCCGAAAGTAGTTACGGGCTTATTTATTATGTCACCACTGGTTCTCCTGTAAATAGCAATGATTTTGCGTGCAAATTCTTCATTGTTGAGCTTAAAAAAAAACAAGAAAATACAGATAAATTTAAATATTCGAATAAAAGCCAATTTGGTTATTTGGTTAAAAGCCATAGAGTAGGCTTATTATACTCCCGCATAACCCGCCATTAGTTTGTGAAAATTTCGCTCGATTTAATAAACTGGATTAATTTCTTCTAACCATGTGTGCCATCATCTGCAAGTTTCGATCTGGGGGCAATGTGAATCAGGTGACGTTTCAATCGGCTGAAGGCCAAACATTCGCCAAGGTGAATGCTCTCGACTTAGTCGATTGCACTTTACCTGTTTGTGGAGATGAAGTATCAGGGTAGATGCCCCGTCAATTCACCCACAAAAATACTAAGTTCTCGTTAGCTTAAAGTTAGTAATTGAAAAAGTTATTAAGTGGTAAGTGAAAAAAGTGCCGGCATATTTTAATTTAATCAAAAATTTAAAGTGGACTATCGAACATACCTCCGGCCAGCAGGATTTTGGGTCTCTTCGCGAGATCACTGCTTTTCTGGGGTCTATTCCTGTTGAAGTTTACCGGTACATTTTTTTTGCCTACGACATGTCACCCCATCTTTTTGGAGCATTTGGCTTGCTCCGCAATTTGACTGTATGACTTTCCAGCTCTACAAAGGTCAAAAATAAAGCTGCTGCTTTTTCCCATCACGAATCTCGAGATAAATATTTTAATTGATTTTAAATAATAAATTTTAGATAATTACTTAACAAAAATTAGTAATATTATCACTAAAATAACGCAACGATGTGAATATGTTACTATTGAACAATCTTGTCTAATTAACTGTCGCACTTTATTTACTTTGCACAAAGTAATGCATCCACAAGTTGGGAAAGTAATAATAGCATTTGAAAAAAGCAATTGCAAAACTTGAGCCATTGAGTAGTAAATGAGTAACAAAAACAAAGCAAAAATCATGTTTAAGAAAATATAACAGTATATTTGCACATTTTACTATTATGCTCAAGAAGGACTTACAGGAAAAGAGAGTTTCTAATTAGTTGTCAACAGCTGTATGTACCTTCAGAATTTGTTTTAGAAAAGTGGACGTGTCACGTGGACCTTTCTCTATTTATTATTTATTACATATTTTTTCTTGAATATTTGTATATTTTTTGGTATAAAAAGTTTGATTTGGAGTAAAAACATGTAGGTGTGGTGAGGCACGACCAAGAGAGTATGATTTAAAAAAATAAATAAAAAATTTTAAGCATAAAGTGGTACTTTTCTATAAATATCGAAAGCGGATTTGCTTGTTATACGCACACATATATGTATATATATAAATACAAATGATTTTGTGGTATTGATATTTTTCCAACAAATGTTTATTGTTTATTCTGAAGCACCTCCGAACGGCCGGTAGATTTTTATGAGGTGCCATTATTTCATGCCAGATGTACACTCGAAGGACTTCACATTCCGTGCAGAGGGGCGATTGCGATTAGAAAATTTATCTTAGTATTTTATTTAAATTAATTTTCTAAAAATTTAGGGTATTGGTTGTACTAGGATTTGAACCCGTTCCTTTCGAATGGCTGCACGCAATACACGCTACAGCGGCCGCCAATATAGTTAGGCTAATTAATTATTAACATATTTATTAAAACGGCACGACTAATTTAATCAATTAACTATAACAGGCACTGTACAGATATTGTTAATTTTTTACATATTTTATTAATTAATTGGGCTTAACTGATTTGGTTTGATTAGTGCAAATAAAACTAGTTTACTCCACTTTTTGCCCAACATTTCGCTAAATATTTTAGCATCTTCAGGGGCTCCTGTTTATTTACATTGATTAAATAAAAGGTTTTAGTATATACATACATACACAGTGAATAGTTAGAAAAAAACTTACAAATATCAAAAAGCATGAACTTATTTAAAATACAATATCATAAGCATATGCATTATTACCATAGTGTATGGTAGCTATTGGGTTGCCCTAAAAGTAATTGCGGATTTTTTGAAAGAAAGTAAATGCATTTTTAATAAAACTGAGAATGAACTTTAATCAAATATATAATTGCCACTTTGTTCGATAACCTTTTGCCATCTTCCTGGCAAATTTAGTATTCCACGCTCATAGAACTTCTGGCCTTTATCTGCAAAAAACTGAACCAAGTGCGATTTTATAGCCTCATCATTGCCGAAAGTTTTACCATTTAAGGAGTTCTGCAAAGATCGAAATAAATGGTAGTCTGATGGTGCAAGGTCAGGGCTATATGGTGGATGCATCAAAAGTTCCCAGCCAAGCTCACTCAGTTTTTGGCGAGTGACCAAAGATGTGTGCGGTCTAGCGTTGTCCTGGTGGAATATGACACCTTTACGATTGACCAATTCTGGTCGCTTCTCCTTGATGGCTGTATTCAATTTGTCCAATTGTTGACAGTAAACATCCGAATTAATCGTTTGGTTCCTTGGAAGCAGCTCAAAATATACGACACCCTTCCAATCCCACCAAACAGACAGCATAACCTTCTTTTGGTGGATATCAGCCTTTGAAGTGGTTTGAGCTGGTTCACCATGCTTGGACCATGATCGTTTTCGACTAACGTTGTTGTAAACAATCCATTTTTCATCTCCAGTTATGATTCGTTTTAAAAACGGATCGAATTCATTGCGTTTAAGGTGCATATCACAAGCGTTGATTCGGTGTGTTAAATGAATTTCTTTCTATACATGTGGTACCCAAATATCAAGCTTTTTCACCAGTCCAAGACTTTTTATGTGATAATGAACAGTTGATTTTGGTATATTTAACTTCTCTCCTATCTCACGCTCAGTAACATGACGATCCAATTCGATTAAATTGACGCCAAACAAACACATGTAAACAAAATTTTGCGCACTTTTTTCCTAAAGCAAGCTAAAAGTAACAGCTGATAACTGACAGAAGAAAGAATGCATCTACAGAGTCACAAGCTGTTGAAAAAATTTGTCAACGCCGACTATATGAAATATCCGCAATTACTTTTCGGACAACCCAATAAATTGATACGAAATATTTACTTTTCTGCGATGTCGTCTGTGTCTTCTTTTTTGCTTACTATCTTGTTCCCTTTTTCCAAAATTTTGTATATCTCATATTGTCCCTTTTTCCCTCTGCAAAATATTTACGTTATCAAAGTTAGCTGAGTGACCACTGCTTATTACATAATATTTTGTGCTATGCGCACTCCCAAAGCCCGTTTTGTTGTGCCTATGCATAATTTCACGCAGTTCTCGTTCTTTCCCTATTGCATTTGATTTCGTACACAACGTTTTTTTGATCTTGTGAGTTAGGATTAATTCCGAAACGTCAGTTGCAAGGCATCCAAACATTGTCACGCATTCCTAAATGCAACTCTGCAAACTTTGACGATGTATCATGTTGCAAAATGCATCAGTAAAGCTACAAAACAAAAACAAACTGCGCAAGGTTTGTGATGCTTTATTATGTCATAAATTCTTAGTAGCCGAAAAGCAACTTATTTGCACGAAAAGCGTTCCAAAATGTCAGAGTTTGCAAAGTATTGCTGCGAGCGAACTCATAGAATGCAGGGTTGCATTGTTATGATAAAAATCATAATTATTAATTGCATCATTACAAAGTATTTTGAAGTTTTGGAACTCGCCCTTAATTGGTGCTCTTGCTCTTGTGAATAATTGTGCGAGCGATTGATTTGACTTGAATGTCAATGTAATATTTTTTTTTTCCTTGGTATCATTTCTGAATTTTTCACTGAGTTGGTATGTATGTAACGCTGCAGTATTTCTTAGGTATGTTGATTGTATCTAGTTTTGATGTTTTGTTATTATTATTACGTTGTCTGCTGTATTAATAACCGCTTTATCTTCTCCGGGTAATTGTTGTTTTTTAGTATAATATGTATTTTTTCTTTGTTGACATCATGAAATTCTTGATGGCTTAAGGTCAATTATATTTCGCTGTATTGATTTTTTATATCTTTGGTTGGGAAGAAAGAAATTTGATTAGGCGTCCAGAAGATGTAAGTTTGGAGTCCCAAGCAGGAGCAATTTTGTTGTTACCTCTATGTATTTTTGTGTTGGGAATTTTAATTTTTTACTCTTTCAAATACAAGTAAAAGTACGTATGTTGGAAAAAGGAACATCTATTTTTAGCAGCTTGTTTTTGAGCGTTACCTTTTATCAAGATTTCTGAAACGTAACGTTGTTCCTTGATTTTATGTTAATATATCGTTTAATGAAAAAGGCGATCTTATAGCAAATTAAGGGGGACATTCTAAACCAAAAGTAACCGTAAGAAGTTGTCTGGGTGTAAATATTTCTGACGATACATTTTCTCTATGACCGTTTTTTGTGCTTGAAGTGAAGCTAAAACATTTTTCTTTATTTTGTTTATGAGCACTGAGGTGTATAAAATAGCACCGCTTATTACATCAATCTATGGGCTCCTAAAGTAGTTGGTATCAGCTCCTAAAGAAGTTGCTTGATTGTGAACTTGGACCCTTAGCCTATAACGAAAAATTAATTCCACTTGAATGTTGGGAGATTGAGATCGCTTGTTGAAGCTTTTCTGCAATCAGTCAGTGATGACCATATCAAATATTAATTTTTTAGCACTTGCTGCAAATAATGCTTGCACATTTGCGTTACTACCTGAAGGCTGAGAAGACCTGTTAATCTTATTGTCAGTGAATAGTCGTGAAGATTGTGTCGCGGATCACTGCATTTTCTGCCCACATTCACATGATTATCGACCTTCATTGCTAAAATTTTCGGACAAACCTGTAGCACATGTATTTTATCCGAGCACAACCTAGACGCAGAATATGGGAATAGACTGAGATAAACTGAAATCTTCCTTCTGAAATGTGGTTGCGATAGTTTATTAAGCAATGAGTTAGGAAAATGCGAGCTTTGAATGTCGGATACGGTTATTTTGATCAGGATACTGCACTATTCCTCGTTTGTTATTACTTCTTCGGAAACTTCTTATGCTCCATTTCCTTTGTATTGTATTTTTTCCTTTCAATCGTATTTTATGTAGAGCTTTTATGTAAAAATTTAATGTCCGTTTGGAAAGATCCAGAAATTTCCAAAAGTTAATAACCGATAGAATTGAAATTTCGTCAGATTACGAAGTGGACCATTTGCAAAAATATTATTACTGTCTGCCATTCCTCGATCAAAACCAGCCGGTGAAATCAATGCTTTAAAGTACTCAACGTTTTGGTGACAATGGGGATTCCACAGCACATACTGAATTTGAAAATCAATTTGTCCATTATAATACTACTTAATATTAGGTCAAGTTCGTTCAAAGTGCGTTCGGTTTTTATCTAAGAAAACGTGTTTATTCGCGCTAAAAGTTTCTCTTTGACAGTTTTTCGATTGATTGACTCAGTACGTTGTGAGCGCTCGTCAAAGATGGGCACCAGCAAAGAGAAAAATCGCTATATTTTACAATTTTTCGCCAGAAAATCGACCCCTTTCTGAAGCGGATTGTGACTAATTATGAAAAATGAGTCACTTATGACAACATCGAGCGCAAACGGTCGTGGCCAAAGCTCGGGGAAGCGGCCAGACGGTCGCCAAGACCGGATTGATGGCCAAGAAGGTTTTGCTGTGTGTTTGGTGGGATTGGCTAAATTCGGCCCTCTGTGGCCAACAAATAAACCGCTTGAAGCAGCACTCATCCAGAAGAGACCATCTTTGATCAACAGAGGCCGAATTGTGTTCCATCAGAACAACGCCAGGCCACGCACGTCTTTGGTGACGCAGCAGAAGCTCCAGGAGCTCGGATGGGAGGTCCTAATGCAGCCACCTTATAGTCCGGATCTGACACCAAGTGATTACCATTTTTTCCTGTCCATTCGGAGAAGTTGGTCTGAAGAGAAGCATATGAAAATTAGGTCTCCGAGCTTTTTGCCGACAGGAAAAAATCCTTCTACGAAATGAAGTTGGCATCTCGTTGGCAACAAAACGTTTTTGACTTAATGTACACAAAGTTATCATATTTTGAAAAATCAATAAAAACCCGGACGACCTAATATTAACCAGTCGAAACTCTGTAATGGTACACAACCTGTTGTCGATTACAGAAGAGCGTAGTAGAAGCATTAATTCTTGTCGGACACATTTCTCGAATTCCTATCATTACTTTCTTTCAATTCAAGCGACACAGGGCACTGTTGTTCGACTAGCGTTTGCAATCACTATCAACAAAGCTCAGGGTCAGTTTTGGAATTATATAGTCTACATTATATTTATTAATTTACTTATTTTGGTTTTACTATATTTTGTGCACTTTTTAACGCTTTGTATACATACTTATTTAGCACGAAATGATTTTTAAAGCGGTTGATCTTACTCTTGCTTTTCTCGTTGGGTTGTTTTTCCAATTCGCGCAGTACGAACTTAAATATTGAGCAATCTTTTTTGTGTTATTTTAAAGAGTTGGATACTTGGCAAATGTTTATTTTGTTTTTTTTTTCGATTTGAATTACTTTTCAAATACATATAAATATGTACATACATATAAACACTGTTCATTTTTTATATTCAATTGAATTATTATCTTGCTATGATTGCTATGTATTTTGTACATATGTACAATGGCAAAAAATACAAAAACTCAAAAAAAGTCACTCATAAAAAGAATTAAATTATGAAATTCTTGGGTTGGTTTGTGAACTTTTTTATGTAAAATATGTGATTTTTTCAAGGCTTTCTATCCTAGTCCGTATACATTTTTTAATAATGGTTTAATATTCTTTCAGAATCTTCATCTTAATAACATTGAATTGTTGCATATGAATATGACAAACGAAGGATTGGATTGTGGTTTTCATAGGTAAGCTAAGCTTCTCACTGCATAAACCTTTAGCTGTAAATAAAATATTTGCTAAATTATGGAACATTAGCATTAAACTTAGTTTATGACCTAAGCGATTGGACATCAATAATATAACACAAACGCACATATCACAACTGGACACCAAGAACTCCTTATCCGGAGATGACAAATGAGATAAATTTCTCCAATCAATATCCCGCGAGATTTTTTAACTACTTTTATACTTTATTTATATTCATATTTGGCGTATTCACTGCCGTCATTCTTCAATTTGTAGTTAAGTCCTTCTTCCTATTGTAGATCCCGTAGAATTTAAATGCATATATAGCGCTATTGGTCGAACATATTTGTATACATGTAGAATGCTTGCTCATTTAAAAATGTTTCGTTTGTAAAATAATCCGATTCCATGATTATTCCGGGTGGCTTCATGGAGACCCGTTAACGATAATGTTACTCCAAATTTGTAATCGATCTTGTCTCAATCACAAAATATCAAATTAATTTAGATATTAACCACTTTGATAAGATTTTAGATTTGGTGTTCGTTGATTATGCTTCTAAATTTGCTGCTTTGGACATAACATTTAACATTTAATTGGAAGCTAACTTGTGACTGTTAACTCGACTCTTAACTCTAGTTTTCGATTCAAATTTGCGAAATCTATATTTAAAAAGTTGAACCAGAAGCCGTCTAAATTTGCTTGACCAAGTTATACTGATAATATTGGATTAGGTGTTTTATATTTTAACAGTACCATTTCTTCTCTTTTTTAAAAAAATGTGTACCTAAAAACACTAGGCTTAAAGAGTAGAAGATCGAGAGCTTTTAAGACTTTCAAGAAAATTTGCTTGCACTTATTTAAAATACTCGTCACTTCATCGAAAATTTCTTGAACTTAAAAAAAATGTGATAAGGATTACATAACAAAACTATTTTACCGAATTCTAAGATGGTTTTGTTAACTCCAAATTTAAGCGTTTCCGTCAATTCCAAAATACAAATCTACTATGCCATATGACAGTCTAAGTATTTCAAATATGTTCGCCCAATTTTATAAACCAAATTACTAATTAACTATCGAAATGGTTTGTCGGCGTGTCAGCATCACTTACGTTCAACAACAGTAATAATCCAAAACTTTCTTTCAGAAGTGGTTCCAGATACCTTGTTACATGCCGATGGTATAAAACTTTGTATATTCTATACCTCATCCGAAAACGTTAGTTAGAAAACGATTTAAGCAATTGAGCTACTTGGTGTGATAACAATTACATGTCTATGAATCTTCAGAATTCTAAGACCACGTGCATTTCGCGAAGACTTTTTCGATCTTCCCTTATATAACTAGTAACTATAGTCTAGAACAAATGTGTTGCTTTGTTTATTTGGGGGTTATGATGGACCCTAATATCACAGTCTTAAAAGCTAAAAATGCTTTCGCTTTGTCAAAAAGGACTCTACGATTTTGGTGAGGCCAATATTAGAAAGTGATTCACTGACATGGAACCCCAACTATATAGTTAATTGCGAAAAGTTAGAATCAGTTCAAAAACAATTTTTACTTTTTGTATTAAGACATTTCTAATGGCTTTTGTCTGAGGTAAACTTTAATGTCCCAACTCGTGTATCTTGGCAGTTTAACCCTTTACTATTAAAGTCATGTTAAACAAATTATGAGCTGTTTCTAAGCGGGTAGGGGAGAATGTTGAATGTGTTCAGATTGAGCACTAGGCTTGTTACAAAAACTATTGCCAAAAGTAAAAGATCAAATAACAGCAATTAGCCAGCGCCCAAAGTTATGCAAGAATCTACACTCCTCGCGTAAATAAACTGAATGAACCATTTCAGCGATTGTGTCACCTTCGACATCTCAGACTCACTTTTGAGGTTCAAAAAAACTATTCTTATTTCTCTCAACAATTAAATTTTAAAATTGGTTATTTGCTAGACTTCAGCTGTTGAATAAATATTCTTTTCTGTTTTTAATCTCTAAATTTAACATACGCTTGTCAATCATGACTCAGTATATTCCGTATGCTATGCGGTTTGGCAACGGTATTCTTTGAGCATATACATGTTCTTCTTTTAGCTATACGGCGCTAATTGACCGCCACATTTTTTCCACCTAATCTTCTTCTTCCTCTATTTTTACCAGCTGGTACAACCTTTCTCACGAGACTACCAAAGCTGACTCATCGGATCTTGTCAACGGTTACGCCTTTGCACCATAAAGAAAAACATGAATGCTGTGCGACTTGTAGTATTTGGTTTCTATGCTACATTTGATTGAGTTGAAAATAATAATATATGTGGTAATGCTTGCTCCCAATCAAACGAAATTATCTAGAACTTCAAACTATTATCCTTTTCTCACGACTCTTTTCCAGGATCTGGCGCATTGTTAATATCTACTGTCTGGTCTGAAACCAGTCTGATAAATCTCAGTAGTTTTGTATTGAAACCTTTCAGCCTGATTTTTCGTAGAATTATTAGTACATTTTAGTACATTTCACCCATTTCTCTCTTTTGCTGTTTATAATTCCTCTTCCCTTTCCGCTTCAACTCTGGCTATCATTCCGTTACTGTCTGTTACGTCGCAGGCGATCACAACTTTTCGTCATATTTCTTTTTCTTTCTGTACGACTACCCTCATCGTACCAGTTTTTTTACACGCAATTCCTTTATATTCATTTTTTGATGAATGTTCTAAAGAAGTAGGAGGACATGTCGATCCATGCGTATTATGGATACAGCAAAATAGTATCTTCGAATTTTTCGATCCAGTAACAACCTAGTAGCTCGAAGGTTTTTTGCGTAATAATCTCATTAAGGGATGTCAGGTCGTGGATACCGAATTTTCTGGTCATTGTACCAAAATTGCCTGCTTCAGTAATAAATACTTCCAATTATTTAAAAACTACACAACGTATTGAACAACGTGGCAAATTGTGATATATAATTTCCAGCTAAAAGAAATATTAAGGGAAAAAGAGGAACGAAAATAAAGTTTTTGGGCTACGGGCACATTTTAATAAGCTGAAAGGCTCGACCGAATATCGCTTCAGCGGTTACAAAGCGCTTATTAAATTTATATATTTATAATAAGGTAAAAGGTCACTGATATATGAGATTTTTGTTATTTCTTTAACCTGATGTGTGCCGACTGCTGACGCGTCTACCAATTATCTTTCTTTCAAGTTGAGTTGAGTTGACTTGATGCGGTTGCTGATCAAGCCAAAAAGCACACTTGGCTGTTTTGGCGAAATCCAGTTTTGACCTGAGTTTTGCGGTAGACAAAGGTACGCCAGCGACGTGCTATAGTTTATTGTTATTAGAGTGATACCTTCTCTCGCTATGTTGTACATCAGGCAGGTGCTTGGGATGCCCCATAATACCCCGTCATAATCTGCGCTATATAGTCGTGCTAACTGCGAGGCACCATACTAGTGCCCCTTGAGGGGTGCCTCTCTTTTCTCAGCAGGAATTTTTTTTACATAATAAAAAACCCTTGGAAACCTACCTATCAAGCCAAAGCAAGCGCAAAAAATATGTTAGAAATCCATAATAAAGAAATAAAATACAGAGCAGAAAAACGATTCATTCTGGTGCAAGTCATTAATAAAAAAAAAAATAGGCAAAAGAAATCATTTCAGATCAAAGAAATAATATAATATATATATATAAGTACAAATCGAAAATGATAACAATAAAAGCTTATTTTTTAATGTTTATTGGTACTTGTTAGTTTTCGTATCTTCTATCACTCTTATCTCGGCACAATTTTTGAATTACAAAATGTTTTACAAACTATAAGACTTTCAATAGGCGGAATAATAAATTCACATATACTTCATACAGAAGAATCGAAAGAAATTCGATGTCATTACTAATCGTAAAGTCAATTCTATAACATGCAATGTAAAAACATATAAAAACTCGAAAGTTTCCAAAGAGCTCAAAAAAATTTATACTTAGAAAAAAAAACATGATTCAATAATTAAAGGTTGGACAAGTAATGACAAGAGAGTTTTGACCCTCCCTTACAAACGGGTGCATTTTTGAAAGTAGTAGAAAGAGGGATAAAATATTTTCCGATTTGAAAAACGGCAGTTAATTTATGGCCAAAATGGGAAAAAAGTAGGGAGATTAGTATTTTTTTGTGAGGAGTTTTTAGAAAAGACTGCCGCTTTTCAGCTGTGCTCAAAATAAATCTCATTCTCGATTAATAAACAGTTAATATACAGTTACAAAGTTTCCGGAAATTGTCAATTAAACTTACCGCGCTGAATATTTTTAGCACTTTCTTTTTGTTAAGTTGGTAGCATTGTCCTTAATTACTATGCATAAATTGAGCGATCTATCAACCAGTTTGCGGCAGCTGTTGAAATTAGTCGATCCAAGTTCCCTCTGCGTATTTTCTTTTACGGCCTCGATCGAGTCGAAACGGGTTTCGCGGAGTGGTTACTTCAGTTTTGGAAACAATAAAAAACGCTCAAATAATACTCTTTAATGATCGTCTGTCCCGCTGGAACGAATTCATGATGAACCAAACCGCGAATATCGAAAAAAAAGCCATTTCCGGAATCTTTCTGGTCTTTAAATATTAATGGCTTATTAAATCTCGTCACTTAATTTAAGCTTCGAAAATATTCAAATAAGCAGCAGTTAAGCAGTGACTATCAATATGCTTTAATTGGAAGTTTTTTCTACATTTGTCAAGGAACAGTTATGCCGATGCTGATTTCCTTTCTAAGTCAATTTACAGATTTCTATAATGGTAATTGCAAAGCTATTATTTAAGATACTTAATGCTTCATTTCTACTCGGGTTTATTCTACTTGCGCATATTAAACTCGCATTAAAATTTTTTCTCCATGAGTTAAGGTAGATTATACACATTTTCTCTACATATGTATAGAAGCGTTAACTCGATAGCATCAAAGGGGGATGAGTTGATATTTGGCAAAGTTGGACTTGGCTGCACTGAAATTAACTCCATTCTGTTTGTTCTACCCTAGTAGAAATGAAGCATAGACGTTGTAGTAGATAATGTCATAACATTTAAAATAAATGTAGCAATTTTTTATCTTTTCAGGTCTCGTCTTCCCTCGGAAATGAATCAAGGTCAGGAAGGAAACATTATGTCTATTTTAAAAAATTGTCTCGGAAAAGAGTTGAGTAAAGTGACAATGCCTGTTACATTAAATGAACCACTAAGCTTCTTGCAAAGAATATGTGAATATATGGAGTATGCTGAAATTTTAAATCAAGCTTCGAACGAGGAAGATCCCGCTGATCGAATGAAGTTTGTTGCAAGTAATTGTGTACATATATATTTTTTTATTCAGAATGATACAATTTAGGTATACTCAACCTTGTTCTCAATGCCGAACAAAAATTCGAAAATATACTATGTTAAGAAACATCACACAAGAGAAGCAAAAAAACAAGAATAATAAATTATTGATAAAATTATTAGGGTACCACCAATATCTGTTGCCTCGTAATTCCAATCTACATTATTTTAAACAGTCACTCACCGGTTCTCCGGTTTTGGGCGTCCTTTTCGTACTAAGGTACGCAAACATATTCCTAATGATTGGTGTTTCGTGCAGTAAATAATAGCAAAAAATCAAATTATACTTACGTTGGATCGCAATTCACCGCAGTAGTGATGCTGTAAAAACGTTGTAAAAAGAAAGTGTAAAAAATATAAGAAAAGAAAACAAATATAAAAAAAGGTATGGGTGAATTTTTTAATGAAAGGTCAGCCTTGTAATATCTCTTATTTTCTTAACTCGTTTGGCTTTACTTGATGTCACCAATTGATTTTTCTTTTTCTGGCATAGCCTGTTGCAAAATTCACTGAACTTTACTAATGTTGCCACTTATTTCGTACAATTTATCGTTCCACCATTTGCGGTACTCGCTGTTGCCAACTCTTGTGTGAGCTGAGCACGCTTCTGTACCATAAACTAGAATCTTAGTTCGACGAGAGAAGTTTACTTTCAGTGGCCCAAAGCAACCTCTGATTGCAAGACTTATTCAAGATGAATTTTGTTGTTGGTGCTTATGGAGGTTCGTCGATGGAAAAAATTGCCTACGACTTCAATATTCGCCAAAGCGTGAACATTCTGACCGCATTTTTATTACACCTACTCTTTATGCTCTTCGATGCTGTTCGATGAAATAATATCAATATCAAACTGTTCATTGATCGTACACTTTAATCATTAACACAATACGCTAAAAAAGACGATTTTCAAAATGGATGAATTTTTTCATTGAAGAAAATACAGATAGTCATTATTAACAGTCCCTGGAAATTGCAATAATTTTAAATTAATTTTAAACCATTTGGTAAAAATGTAATGAATAAATTTTTAGTTGTGAATTAAATTAAAGAAACATCTTTTGAAGCGATGCCAATATTTATTCAAAACAATAGGTTCATTTTAAAAATGATTCACTCATTTACAATTGATATGAGTAATTGAATTTACTATGTGAAAAATAATTTTCCGTACATCGTTTGTTGGACCAAACCGAAATTTTATTCTATAGAAATTTCTCTTTGTGAAATTTATATAAAAATTCTATAAGGTAGTTTCACTTCAAAATTTTTAACATTACACTTGTTTGCTCAAAATTGTTTATTAATCTTGCCCCTTAAGAAATATTCAAATTGGAGATTTTTTTTGGGGTTACATTCTAAGCTGATGCTATAATATTCAACACACGTAATAAATAAATAAATGATTTGTTCTAAGCAGTTTTTCTTATGCGGCAAAAGTACTAAAAGAAATAACTGGATGCTTTTTATTATAAATAAAATGAAAGACTTGGAGTTGGAGTTGTTAATTTTCTGAAACTTAGATTTTTATGTTTTTTTGGAATATATGCGAAACGTACCAGGTTTGGGTACTTGGCACTAGGGCACCCCAGGGAACTGCGGGGCCGATGAGCTTTTCGGATAGGGAGTAGTCATAACCCCGGCAAACTCTGTACATGACTAGGTAGTTGTTAAGATCAGAAGAGAATGGTAAGGTAAAACTACGAGCTTTCTAAACGGATGGGCTGTTTCTTAAGCAAGTCTTTCGCTTTTGTCCAGCTCTCAGTGCGGTCCGTTAACGTTTTCTATGAAATTTATTTTTAGATTCCCTAACATATTTTGCATTTGTAGGCATCACTAATCTCCTGAAGTTTATAAAATGTATCAAGTTGTTTGAACCAGAGAACGTATATTAAAGAGAAGGACCAAGGCGTGGCGATTGCCATTTGTTCCAGCTACGGGATTGCTAAAAGACTATTTAACCTCTATACGATATTAGTAAGAGACTATTTCACCGTTGGTTAACAGTGAACTACCAGAGACTAACAAATTATTTACAGAAGAATGATATTTGGGAGACAATTATTTTATTAATTTATTATTATCTTTCTCAGAAATGTTGACAAACAGAGTCAGTTTATGGCGGCCGTGGTGAAATAGTGAGTATTATTTCTTTTGTCGATTCTGGCAGTTCACACGCCGTCCACAATCGGTCCTTCTCTTTAATATACGTTCTCTGGCTTGAACATCTGTAAAGGAGGGAGAAATCTTTTTTCTTAGAACCAACATAAATACCATCACGGGATTAGGGTTCCGTGCTCAAGCAACCTGTTCAACTAACTAACTTACTAAACTTTGAAATGTCTTCAAAACTGATAGACTGGTTTGCATTCAAAAGTAAGTATAGCAAATCCAGTCAGCTCCTCATCTTTTGAATTCGAAATCAATTATGTTGGGTAAAACTCGCCCCGTTCTGATACTTTCTAGAGTTTTATTACAATACAGCAAACAAAGGCATATACTGGGTGAACTCCACCATCATGGGTTGGAAAATGTAATATAATAGAGATTTTTTGACGTTTAAACATTTAAACAATTTTAATATTCTCTAAATACTTATACATTATTTAAAAGTGGTGGATTTTTTTTTAAAAGAGGGTAGTACAAAAGAGATGAAACACTGTAATCGGTAAAATAAATTTTGCTACTTTTTTTAATACCCAAATTTAATTTCGTTTTCTAGCGCACAGGTTACATCGTTTGACAAAATTTTGGAAATTCTGCCTTTTTCGACCTTTTATTTATTTGTTTATTAAGTCACAAATAATTGAACCTGAAAATGTGTAAGGACGACAAAAAAAGCTGAATGAAAACACTATCTTACAAATAAAAATGTAATTTTTTTCTCGCAAACTTCTGAACAATGAATTTCATATGTAAGATATGGCTTTTTATTTTTTCTCAAACTAACAAAACTATTTCGCGTTTAACAAAATTTACAGGGTTACAGTGAACTCAGAATTCGAAATAGTAACAAAATTTACTGAATGGTTAATTTAATAACACCATTCGAAGAGAGAATGGAACTTCCTTAAATTATTGTAACATTATTTAACCATCAAAATTTACTCGGTATCAAATTATTTATTGTATTCTCTTTAGAAATTTTTACAAACATTTACTTGCCCCGCTTTGAGGTGTATTTTTTGTTTTAAATTTATGGAGATGATCCGATTTATTTGATAACATAGTTGCTTGTCAGAAAATTACGAAGCTAATAATTGTAAAAACAAAACCGGTAAAAAATAAATATTGGTCGCCCCTCGGCAACGAATGTCAAGTGTTCCGAGCGTATTTCTGACATGAAATTAAAGCTGCCCATAAAAATCTATCGGTGGTTCAAAGGCGGCTTAGAATAAATAGTAGCACCCTCCATTTGTTGGAAAAACATCAAGACGAAAACCACAAATTGGAGGAAGAGCTCGGCTGAAAATTACTTCAGCGGCTACGAGGCGACAATTATATGAATGGTAAAAAAGGGCAAATTTTGAATTTTCGCGGGCTGTGTACATTGAACTATGGAATGGAATATGAAGGCAAAGGCGAAAATGTGACTAAGATTTTCAGTTGTCAACAACAAACTACTAATCCAAAACGGCTGATAATGCCAACATATGACAAAAATGTGTGTACTCATATAAAAAAATTCATAATCGGACTCGCGGAAATTCAAAGCAATAATAGTAAAGTCCAACTATCATAAGCCACTTTATTAAACCGAAAGTCAAAATATAAATCTTAAATGGTTACAAAAGCTATATTTGCTTGTAGCTAAGAACGCGCGTAAACAAAAGCAAGAATATTGAATATTTTTTAAAATATATGAAATTAAATTAAATTAAATTAAATAAATAAATAAATATATATATATATATATATATCCTTCAATTTGTGGTATGTGTCTTAATGTTTTTCCAACAAATGGAGTGACCCACAGTTTATACTAAGCCGCCTCTGAACGGATGATTATTTTCTATGAGGTGCCTTTATTTCTTGCCGGAAATACAATCGGAGGTTAATTTCCTAGTAATCTACCCTAATTACCTTTTATAATCTCTCTCAGTACTTACCAAAATTATACGTCCTTACTTCTAACCCTACTCCGTGCCCAATATTTATCCTAATAATATAATATCTTAAAAAAAAATCTATTATGAAGAAATATTAATGTAAACTGAAATATTGGCTCCAGTTGTGAATTATACGGTTTCTAATAAATAAATTATACATAGAGATTATAAATATTAAAATTAAATGGTTCGAAATTTCAAAATTGCAAATTAGGTATGTTTTCATTATATTCATATCATATCTCTGCAATATTAAATACATAAGGTCCCATCGATAGTGTTGTGAAAAAATAGTAGGTCCCACTTGCATTTTGATGCATTATCCGGCAGCATTAAAAATACATTAGCAAAATTCGATCACTTCTGGGGAAAGATCGCAATTAGAAATATGACATAGGCATTAAAAAGTTAAAAAAATTAAACTGGTGGAGTTATTGTCATTTACTCTTTGTCTTGGTAGGGAAGGTAATGTGAAATAATACCTTGGTTTTTTTTATTTTGGCTTGGGTGTGAATTCCATAGGAAAAAATTAGATATGATGCGGGGTGGCCATTCCTCTTTATACACTATGTTTTTATTGGGTTGAGCTCGGGGGTGAGTTCCGGGTGAGAAATTGTATTGGGTGCGGAGGTGACCATTCCATTTGTTGCGTTGGGAATTTATTTAACTCTCTGGCTCTTCAAAATTTGTGGATCGAAGGGTTGCTCTTAAACCCCTTAGGAACTGTCGTTGTTCAGCAGTTCCTGGAGCTGGCAAACATAAAAGCTTGCAATAATGCAAGCTGTCGAGCGTCTTCGAAGTTTCGAAGCTCGTAAAACTAATTTCAAGCAAAGCACAATAATTTCGGATATTTGCAAATTATAATAAATATGCGGCAGAGCAATTAATCACAGTTCTATCACAAATCCTTTCTCTTTAATCGTTTGGGGTAGTTCAGTCTGGATGGTTACGAGTAGATAACCTCAATGAGTAGTGAATTGCGAAGCTTTTTCCAAAGGAGCTTTGCATATTTCTTTTAAGGATTTAGTCTGCCGCTTTGAATTTTATCTAGGACTGACGGTTCAATTCACAGCCTGACCCGGATAGAAATTGAAACTTGTTGAGTGCACAGTATAACGCAGTATTCTGCGTATAACGTAGCAATCCGATAAGAAACGAATATGCGGGGTGAAAATGAGTCAACCATTTGAAATAACGAACTTCGAAACTACTAAACATTTTGATAAAATTTCATACTCGCCTTTGATTAAGGTTAACATAAAAGAAATTATATTTTCTTCCTTAAAGATTACGAGAGACTGGCCCATTTGAAAAATCACAAAAGTTCTATTTGCTTTATAAGTACTCAAATATTTTAACATTGCAATTTATTATTATAAGCATAAATTGTTATGTTAAAGTATTTGAATACTTCTAAAACAAATCGAGAGTAATTAAAGAGATTACAAAAAAGCCAGCTAAAAATCTTATTAAAACCGATGTGGACGAAGTCGCGGGCAAGGGAAAGTTTTTACATTAAAAAAAATTATTGATTTTCCGATGTTCAAAGTTTCCTTCCCAGATTCGTTAAAATTTGTGAAATACAATAATAACTTATGAGCCAAACAAAATATTCTCAAATAGAATCAGAAAGATATGTACATATATATTAATACTAATGATTATAACTATTTTATTTATTACATGTATATGTATATACTCGTACATACGTCAAAGGATACTGTTATTCACAGTCATAAAATTACACAATCAGCGTTTGCTTTGCTTTCGTTACACTTTCGATTCATCCTTAATAGGACAGAACAAGCAAGCGGTTGATTTTATAAGATTATTTCGATAATTTACGTTTTATATGTGTATTGATAATTATAAAAAAAGGTGAAAGTGAAATGTGTCGCTCCAAATTTGGCGATTAGTGGGCCTCATAATTTCGTTGATGAATACTTTGGGTATTAATAATGTTAAAGTGGTGAGCGTGATAAATTAATAGAACATACCTTATATATTTTTATGGTTTTTATAATATTTACTAGCCTCAAAAAACAGTACAAATATTAAATACAACCCGAAATATTATTTAAACCAGGATTTAATTTAATTTTTGTTTTGGAATCATACGAGCTGTAGACGGTTTGCACAATCACTGACCTGACCAGCAGTTCGTTCTTGGGTATAATGAAGGTGATACTTCTTTTTTATATGGGTGCAATATTTCGAAAACTTCGAAATTTTTGTAGCCGGATATATGTATATGCCATAGACTACATGATGGGATTCCCAACACCACCAAAACTCATGAAAATCCATTTTTTTCATAGACTAGTAATTTGAGTGAGAGTGGATCAACCATACCAAGTGAATTATTTATGACATTGTTCAACAGGAGCTAATTTTTGTTTGAGAAATATTTCATTTATCTGTCCTTTGAATTAGCAGGTAACAAATCAAAAACAAAGAAAATTATCTAAATACTGATTTAAACTTCATAATTTGCACCAAAATTCTTTTATTTTAATAATCTCTTTTAAAATATTCGCAGTGCCATACATTTCTTTTTGAAACTAAATGTTTATAATTTGACACTTTTCCCAAAACAATATTGAAATTATGACGTACGCACCATTCTTGTATTTTCATATTCGTATAGATCTCCCTGAAGAGGAAGAATAAATCAGGCAAAAACCTTTTGTTTAAGAGTATTTTTTCCGAACTTTTTTCCCGACTACATCTTTTTATATCGCAAACAATATTGTTTTTGACAAAAACGTATCTATAAAAAGTGTTATCTATTTTGCGGTTTCGAAAGCAAACCTAATTAATATGCATTAAATTCATTTTTCGTTATAAAGTTTAAACATTGGCATAACAGGTGAAACCATTCAACTGACCGCATCGCGAATTTTCGCCAACTTTGATCCGTTTGAAGTAATTGTCGCTCAGTTTTTAGAACAAATTGGACGGTATCTTAGCCATAACTTGCTGAATGTTGCCATTCAAGTGCTCCGCATAAGCACCATCTTTCGCGTAGCCGCACAAAAAATTGTCCAACTCGCAATAAAGCCATGTTCGCTCGGGCTGTGTGGCATGTGACACCATATTGTTGAAGCCACATTTCCATCAATTTTCGTACAAGACTGACTTTTAACTAAAACAAAACATTTTGGATTTCACAGTTAAGTTTGGCAGATTAAACTGTACTTTTGAAATCACGAAATGTATAACCCTATACAAAATAATATTTATTTAGAGCCATTGTTTTTCATAATTAAGAGTAGCTTAAATATGAAACGGTAAAAAATAAAAAATTTAAATATTCTTAGTTTCTCGGAAAAATAGTTATTCTCCATTTATAATATTTATTTTTCAAATATAATCTAAGCGCCATTCAAAACAATTGAAATTTTTCATAATTAGCATTTGCGGTATCTGCATTGGCATCCAATTGGGAACGCGTTGGAAAGCCATTTAATCCACTTTTGGGAGAAACATATGAATTTCAAAGAAATGGTTTCAAAATCGTATGTGAACAAGTGTCTCATCACCCACCGATCTCTGCATTTCACGCTGAATCCCCTCATTATAAGTTTTATGGCAGCATCAATCCAAAAATAAAATTTATGGGAAAAAGTATCGAGATTCAACCCAAGGGAGTGGTCACAGTTGAATTGCTCAGGTAAGTGGCAAGGATATATTTACTCTTTTTTTTGATTCTGATACGAGGCTTTTAACACAGTGTTATTTTAACCTGTCGAGTACTGGGTTTATGCTTCTTTTGTACTTGGGTTAAGCCTACAATCGTACGCGAAAAATGTTCTATTCGAGGTGAATTCAGAATGGAATTAATATCAGGGCAGCCAAGCCCAGCTTTGTTAAATTTTGGTAGAATTTTAGGTAAATAATTGCATTTTTGGCAAAAAGATTGAAGCACGGAAACTCTGTATCAATCAACTCAACCTGAGTTTATTTTACTGAGTTAACGCTTCTACTTCTAGAAATTTTGTATAATCTAGCCGAATGGACGCCTTAACTCGTGGTAAAAAGTAAATATGATTGCAATTTTAATCTAGCCTAGCAGAAATGAAGTATAAACATGATACATGCGTATGGAATGCCGGTAGTCATCTACAAACAATAATATTCACCCAAATTTACTTTAAAGACGCGTAACTACCTAAAAATCATAGATTCATAAAATTTATAAATTTTTTCTGTAGAACTTAATTTTTAATGGCGATTAAAGTCGTATCAAAAATGGCTCCAAATGGTCTAAACACAGTCCTACATCGTATATAAAGGACCTATAATATTGGTAAAAAGCTCGTTCGGTTTTTTTTATTGATTTTTCAAAATATGATAACGTTTGTCCGTTTTGTTCGTAAACATGTTGCCAATGAGATGCCAATTTCATTATACCCCTCTCGTAGAAGGATACGTCCCTGTTGGCAAAAAAATCGGAGAGCCAAATTTCACAGGCCTCTCGTGGTCTCACGATTAAGCGCGTTCGCCATGGGCAGAAACCGTTTGCGCTCGATGTTGTCGTAATCCGATTTTGTTGCGATTCAGCAGCGATGTATAGCACCCAAACATCGAGCTTCTTTTTGAATTCAAGGTTATGCAAATGGTTCCAAACGGTTTTCTGGCTTTTCTTTAGCTCTTCAGTAATTAAATAAGTGCTCACGTGACGGTCTGTTTCCACTATTTCCATGGTTTTATCGCAACTTTCGACGACAGGCCGCTCGTCATGTAATGCATCAAAGAATATGTAATTGGTTGTATATTCTATTATAAATTAATAATTATAATTATTATAAATGTAATCAATGTTTATTATTTATTGTGGAAACATCTGCAAAGATATGAGCCACATTTTCCATCCGTCTGCCTCTATTGTACCCGACAGTCGGTTCCCGAAAACTAGGCTCGTTCCTACGCACCTTACTGCAGTGTAAATTTGTCTTGACAGAAGTTATGACCGACCTGTTTATAATTACTTGACTCACGTGTGGAATTCTACAAGTCACATAAAGCGCAGTAGATGGTGTTGGTTGGCAATAATAAACATTGATTTGTTTGATTACATTTGGGGGGATTCAGTAACTTGTGAAGAATATTCATATGACGCGAAAACAATATAAGAGGATTGTTACCTTTTTAGCAACACATTCATGTCGCTTTCTGCAGGAAAATGCTCCCGGTAAAAGGCTCTGTATACACACTTACCTTGAGTATGTATGTGCACAGCAAAAGAGCACACAACGTAGACTGCGCAAGATTTTTTGTGTATTCGGGGTATTTTGTATTTATAATTCAACTAATATTTTTAAAAGAATTATTGGACGCCCTTTGATTATGTTTTTTAATCGAAAGAAGTTTTAGATATACGATAGAGAACAAGGGAACCAAAGCTCCTCATGTTTATATGTATTTACATTTATAAAACCTAGATATCGAAGACAACTCTTTGCTTTGCACTATAAACATTTTTTAATGTGATGTTGCTGAATGGTTTTTATAACTAATAGTAATTCAATGGTGATTTGCGCAATCCTTGCACTGTACGATTCAACTAAAGATCGTATTCTTTATCGTACATTTCTACTGCTACTAAATGCTACCATAGCCAAGTCTTTTATGCAACTTTATTTTCAGATGGAAAGAAGCTTATACATGGAGTAACGTCAATTGTTGTGTACACAATATAGTGATGGGAAAGCTGTGGATCGAGCAACATGGTACAATGGAAATAAAAAATCACTCAAATGGGTATCGCGCGGTACTCGAATTCAAGGAAGCCAGCTCCACCAAAGAAGCTAACCAAGTATATGGATTCATAGAAAATAATCAGTAAGTAATATTTTAAAAGAATTACACGCGTATACACATACAAAGATTTTCTCCTCTCGCTAACGTTTCTACTTCTTTACTGGCGTAGATACCGTTTACGCGAGTATAACCGGATTGGTAATTGACATGACCTAGACAGCGTAATAAATGTTTTTTGATTTGCTGTCCTATGCCAATGTCACTGTATATTTCGTATAGCTTATCATTCCATCGTCTGTGGCATTCGCCGTTACCAACGCGCAAAGATCCATAAATCTTACGCAAAACCTTTCTCTCGAAATCTCCTAACACCATCTTATTAGATTCTGTCATCGTCCATGCTTCCGCACCATGTAGCAGGACGGGAATGATGAGGGACTCGTAGAGTTTGGTTTTCGTTTGTCTGGAGAGGACTTTATTTTACTATTGCTTACTCAGTCCAAAGTAGCACCTGTTGGCAAGAGTGATTCTGCGTTGGATTTCAAGGCTGAAATTATTGTTTGTATTGATGCTAGTTCCTAGATAGACGAAACTATCTTTGACTTCAAAATTATGACTGTCAACAGTGACGTGGGAACCAAGCCGTGAATGCGCTGACTGTTTGTTTGATGACAGGAGATATTTCGTCTTGTCCTCGTTCACTACCAGGCCCATTCGCCTTTCACAGCCTTTCAGTATGCTGGAGAAGTGTTCTCTTAATAAATTCAGTATACTCTGGGCATCAGTCACTAGATCACTTCTCTGTGTCTGTTGTTAAGGTCTGGCCGGCAATTCAATTTTAATTGCTGTTGTTTTGTGAATGTTCATCAGCCATCAACCTCCACCGTTTCCGCGAAATGATGATTTTCGCACTTCATAATGCAAACGGAAATATTGAAAACAGTACTTCAAATATGAACATTCAAAGAAATTCTTAGATTTGGTTTATTTATCCGTTTGTTAATGAGTATCCCAAATTTATGATCAATTAGTTTATTTCTAAGTTTTATTTTGTAAACGTAATATAGGAAATTGATTTTATTTCCTTGGGTCTGTAGACCAGTAGATTTGCTGTCTTGGGGAGATAAATTAGAATTTGGTACAATCTTCTATAAGAGTGTACAGCTGTTGACGTATGCCGATGATATTGACATTATTGACCTCAACAACCGCGCCGTGAGTTCTCCTTTTTCAATATTGGATAGGGAAGCGAAGAATATGGGTCTGGTAGTTAACGAGGTCGAGACGAAACATAACAGTCATAACTTTGAAGTCGTCTATCTAGGAACCAGTATTAACACATGACATTGTTAGCCTTGAAATCCACCGCAGAATCACTCTTGTCAACTGTTGCTACTATGGACTGAGTAGGCAATGAGTAGGCAAAAGAAAACCGAGCTTTACAAGTCCCTCAACGTTCCCGTCCTGCTATATGTTGCGGTAGCATGAACGATGACAACATCTGATGAGTCGGCGTGAGGATTTTCTAGAGGTTTTGCGTAAGATTGGTGGTTCTCTACAAGATGGGAACGGCGAAATGATAAAATGTATGAGATATATGATGAATTAAGAGACAGCGTCTGCGCTGGATAGGTCATGTGGTCCTGATGGATGAGAATACTTCAGCTTTGAAAGTTTTCGATACAGACCACCACTCCGTTGGAAAGACCAGGTTGAAAAGGTGCCAACCCCAACCTAAAACCTATCTCCAGGGATTATAATAAAATCATTAAATTGCTTCTCTGTTATTATGAAGCGCAGCCGACAGTTTTCACGGCCTATCTGTTTTTAAGAGTGATCGAAGTTGACCTCATCCAATTATAATACAATTAAATTCGGATGACAAAAAATTTCATTAAACAGTAATTTTTTTTAACTACAACAATTTTCAGCAATTTGTATATGCTCCAGTTTAAAGTTTCTTACCTTATCTATATGTTACACATTCATTTTATATATTTTAGGAAAATACCGGTATACAGATTATACGGCAAATGGAATAAACTTTTGAGATGTGTATCTGAAAGTGACTTCCAACGATATGTTCATCAGAAAAGCGATAAAAAAGCAGATGCTTCAAATGACCGTTCAAGGAAAATATTTTCAAAGTTAAATAACTTGAAAATGTCATCATTCCTAAGCGTTAGTATACAAGAGGTAAGTACCAAACATGGCCAGTAATGAATGGTTGGATAAAAATTTGTTTTCTTACTTATTCCTTGCAAATGGTCCACTATATTGGTTAACCGTTTTTCTTCTTTGAATTAAGGAATTTTACGTTTTTAAGGTTAAAAGAAAACTCACAGCAATTTGAATAAAATTGATGTTATACCAAACAGAAAAATTATAGCATTTGTTGTTAGTAAACGAAACCATTGGTAAGAAAGTGACAAGGTTTCGTCCATATTTATCCAACCTTCACATGAATAATGCTGGTAAGTTATAGACAGCATCACCGCAACTACCTTGTTGGTGATAAAAATGTCTAATATCTTTACCACTTGTATATTTAATATTTGTTATCTAATTAAAATGTGTAAGCAGGATCCAATTGATACAACTCAGCTTGAAGACTTAAGTATCAATGACGATGAAGTCCAAATACCTTCTGAAATACAATCAGTTTTATTATGGAAATGCAATGAGCGTCCCGAGAATAGCGATAAGGTAATTCACTTATTACTTGTACTCGACATTATAATTATTAAAACCTATTAAATATACCATTCATATACTACACTTGAAGTTTATTCTGTCTCGATCTTTCTCTAATTCTGCTAGAAAATACTTTTTTCGAAATAAGGCTAGAATATTTTAGCCCATTCGAGCGACATTATCCTGACATGGGAAAGTTATTTTGTTTTAATTAAAATTAAATATTTTTCATATAATTATCTTTATTACAATTCAAAACAAATTACAATTAGCCCATTTTAATCATATTCAACTCAATTAGTTGAGTCTTCAAAAAAGTAATAGGCAGACTTGGCTTCCTATATCCAAGGCATAATAATCTTTTCATCTTAAGGAACACAGCTCAATCGGGGAACATTGAATTGTGAAAACATTGGCAGAAATTTTTGTTTAGTCGCCGATCGGCATAGATTGTCAAGCCATCCTGTATTTCTGATACGAAGTAAAAACTCCTCAAAAATCTATGGCCCGTTTGGGCTCATTCTCATTTATGCAACTATCAGCTTGACGATAGTGTTATGAAATCTGTGTTATCGTCACCAAGTGGGGCCAGGTGCGCTACCCCATAATATAATTATTGACAAATAACTTTTTTTTTGGATGATACCTTACGTTTGAATCGATTCTGTAGAAATTTTTGGAAATGTTATTGGTAAAGCAGTTATTAAAATAATTTTTTATCATCCGAATGAAACTGAGAATGTTAAGCATTAAAATTTATGTGTAAATTATCTTTAATTAAATTATTTTTAACACCTTAAATTCTATATTTTTTTACTGTTATTCGTGGGATAGAGCAACTTCATTTAGTTAAGATCTCCATCTGCGATTTCCTTTCACTCAATGATGAGAAACGTTATCACACAGCGCATGTGCTATCAAAGCAACAACAGCAAGTAAAGGTATTTGCGTGTGCGGTACACCATTTACATTCGAGCATCAATACATTGTGCTCCACTAGCGAATAATGATTAAGGGCTCAAACCGCAATGCCGCACTTTAGAAGTCGGGAAATAGTTGTCTCCTCGCTTAACTAATTACACCCAACCTGCTGGGCGTCAATCGGTACATTTCTATATGCAGAATTAAAACTAAACAAACATGCACACAAAACAACATTGCACAAAGAACTAAGTTTTCGTGATGAACCCAAAGAGTGGCGACTTTCCATGGATTCGAATAAAATTAGTTTAAAAGCTGTCCTATTTCACAATGGCAATAAATATTCTTCAGTTCCTCTCGCCTATACAACAAATATCAAAGAAAGTTATATAATTATGAAGTTGTACTTACAACTTTGGAAAAAATTAAATATTTACAGTACATGTGGAACATTTGCGCTGAGTATTGGAACGTTTTAGCAACGTTAACTGGCCTAAAAAAGGATGTGCATATCATTGTTATTTTATGTGTGAGAGGGATAGCCGGACGAGACATAAATTTACGTATAAAGATCTAGGGTGTAACATGTCATTCAAAATTCATTTTCTGGACCCTCACTTGGATATCCTAACACAACGGAAAAATGGTTAGAAATAATGTTTACAGTTTTTTGCTGGTTTATTTGGGGTAAAATTCCACTTGAATATATGAACAGAAAGAAATCCACAAAGCAAAATATGAACATGTCATTGTAAAAAATATACGCGACAGAAAGTTTGTCATATCGTATTTAATAATAATAATAGTTATATAAAGGAGATGATTTTTTTTGCAGACCAGTAAGTTCTGTATTTCGATTTATCGAAAAAATCCGACGAAGTTTTAGTTGGCTTTAGTAAGACCTAAGGAAATAAGAAGCTGAAAACTTTAACTCAATCCAGCAGCTAAAACTCCGTCCGTATACGAGTCTATATACATATATGTATGTACAATATATTAAACATCTAAATGCTTGCTTTTAATGTTTGTTTTAAATAAAAGAGTACCATTGAGTAAATTCAATAAATTCTAGATATGTTATAAAATTTTCAATTCGAATTTTTTTTTTTATTTAAGATAAATTATATTTAGAATAAATAATAAATTTTCTAATTGCGGTCGCCCCTCGGCAATGCCTCCGAGTGTTTTTCTGACATGAATTAAAGCTCCTCATAAAAAAACCATCAGCCTTTCGGAGGCGGTTTTATATAAACTGTACTGGGACCATTTGTTGGAAAAAAACATCAACACGCAAAATCACAAATTGAAAGAGCAGCGCGGCCGAAAATCGGCTCAGCGGTTACAAAGCGCCATTTATGTAATATAAGTATATATAATTTTAGGAGGCTTAAGAAGAAGAAAGCCGCATGAATTCGATCACTTCATTTGGGAGTGAATCATTCATATATTAACATTATTTTCATTTTAAGTAATTCTTGCTTTATTGACAAAAATGCATTAAGCAATATATTTCTATCAGTGGTAGCGGTGCTATTATTAAATTACTTTACGTTTTCGTTTCCTTTCATTTAGCAACAATAAAATAAGATTACATTATCAATTTGAAAACCAAAGCGAAAATCTATCGATAAGGATGTTTTATTAAAAAAAAATTAGATTAAAAGTTTCTTGGATGTGATGCTGGAAGAACACAACAGCTTGCTTCAAAAGTATCGATTTATATGAAAATTTCCATTCGATATGTAGGCAGTCCTTTTTATTTGGACCTAGACAAATTTTATTTACTCATTTTGCACAACCTGATTTCGCATTTGGACAATTAAAAAACGTTATAAGTAAAAATATATTTAAGCATTATCAGCTGAAATATAAGTAAAAAAGAGTTAAACAATTATTCATGCTAGAAGTTACGGATGTGGCAGAAGCTGAGAAAATCTTAAAGATGGTCCTATAAAAAATTACAGATGCTATGTGAAGCTAGGTTCTTCTCCACCCACTCTTTGCATTGCAAAGATGTCACCAGCGGGTAATGCATCGAATGTTTTCAAAAGGGAAAGTCGTCCTGGTTTTAAAAGAGCGGGCTGTATTTTGGCATCTGCCAAACTTAACTGCCAAACCGAATAAGTTTTGTTTTAGTTAAAAGTCAGGCATTTATTAAAATGGATTACTTAACAACCGTATAACCGTCAGGTGGCTGAAGACCCGAGTGTGTTTATTTCTTGCCGTTCTTAAGAGCTGGGACCTTTTTACGGCACATTATGCCGTATTTACACTTGAAATTACACCTACATCCTTATAAAGTCTATCTCACGCAACAACTGAAGCCAGCTTAACCATTCACAACACGTTATTGCAAAAGAAATTTTCGGCAGCGTTATCTTTCGTCTTGGCGATGTCAATTGGCTACCGAGATTGTGCGATACGACGCCAGAGAAACTTTTTTGCGGTCTGCTCTAAAGACCCTGTTTAGGCGGATAAACTGTTTTAACTCTTAGCACTTGCAACCTACATTCGTCGAGTTACGGCTGAGATACCACTCAATATGTACCAGAAAGTGGTCGAAATTTTTTTCGAACAGATCGAAGTTTGCAAAAATTCGCGAGACAGTCATTTGTAGAGTTTCACGTTTGTTCCAAGGGTCAAACTTTATAATAAAAAAGGATTCTCATGAAAAAAAAAGTTAAAAACTATTTGAAATTCTCACGGTGGTACAACAGTAGAAATTTCTGCTTACATGGCGAAACATCTCCGATGAACTTCGAAGTAGTACGAGTTCCCAAACAAAAATGGAAATGGAAAATCACGCAACCAAATGGATTATATTGTGATAGACAGAAGATATGTATTCAGTGTTCTAGATGATTGCATGTTCAGAAAACCTAACATCGACATGAACCGATATCTTGTCGCAGCGAAAATATTCACCCGCCCCTTTATATCAAAAAAGGTACGTCGAAAAGCTGCAATCTCAGCTCGGTGTGCACACCAGCTTTCTCAGAGCACTCATTACCAACTCGATAGTGCTAGAAAAAGAGTTGAGGAATTTTGAACTGCAAAAAGCAATAGATCGCGGGGTAGGATACATACCGAGAGTTATGTTAAAGAATGAAAATATGAAGCGACTCACAGAATTTTTCAAGACCGGAAGGAACCAAGGTTCGATGGACCGATGTCCAGATGACTAATCCAGCCCGCTGGATGTCAGTTGGATAAGGCCTTATTGGGATATCGAGGAGCCTAATTTCACTTCGCAATACCCCAGCGGTTAGCAGTGCGTATTACCATTCGGAATACCAGGACTCGAGTCCTGGTTCTTGGTATAAAAACTCTCCAAGTGAGAACGATTGATTTCTTCATAAATTTAAATTGAATTAATTAAAATAAAGACTACAGATTTAAGCGCACAATAATAAGTTAGGGTAAGCCGAAACGCATTTAAAAAAAATATGCCGATTAATATTTCTTTTAGAGACATGGTAATTACTTGAAGACTAAGATTAGCATTCAATCGCACTCTCTAACATTTACTACCTGAAGTTAAGGTTTTTTTTTTAAATACAAAAACAAATGCAAAATACTTCTAGTAACTTTTTCACCAAGAAATATAGAAAATATTCAACATTATTTGTAAAATGAAAATGTAAAGGTTGCGGGCGAAAAATCGGTAAATAAACATAAATAAGTTTTTGTTTAAATTCTATATAAATATACATTTTGCATTAGCACTTTTGCTTATTTTTTCGGAGGTTTTGACAAAAATTATTGAATTGAGAAATTTCTCATACTGGCGACCGTTATACCGGGGTTAAACTATATTGAACATCTGCAAAAATGAACATTAATGTTTATGGAATGTGTTTTTCTTAATCTTACATTTATATACATTTTCCATTTATTTTTAAGATTGTCATTTACTTTTAATAATACTATTCAAAATTTCTTTTAGTATTATCATTTCACAGATTTCGCGATGCAACTTAATGCTATGGATCCTGAAATTAAAGATGTTTTATGCCCAACTGATTCACGATTACGGCCAGATATAAGATGTCTCGAAGAAGGTGATAATAGCGGAGCATCGGCACAGAAAAACCGACTGGAAGAAAAACAACGTAACCGAACACGCAATGTGAAACATAACGAAATTGGAGTACCACGGTAACAAAAACTCTTTTACCTTTTACATTAAGACCTGAAAGATTCCGGAAATTGTTTTTTTTTTATATACGCGGTTTGGTTCATCATGAATTCGTTCGAACGGGACAGACGGTCAATAAAAATTATTATTTGATCGTTTTGAGTCATTTGCAGGAAAACATCCCTCGTAGACGGCCCGAATTGTGGATCAACAATTTCCGAAAACCTATATGACGATAATGCGCCATCACCCGTTTCGACTCGACTGAGGCTGTAAAAGAAAATTAACAGAGGAACCTGAGGTCGACTGATTTCAACAGCTGTTGCAAACAAACTGGTTGACAGATCGCGCTCATTTTTGGCATAGTAATTAAGGACAGTGCTACCAACTTAACAAAAAAATTGCTGAAAATATTCAGAGCTGGCAGTTGAAATAACAATTTCAGGAAACTTTCTGGTCTTCATGTATGCATATTTGACAATATATTGTAGATTATATAATAAATATATGGCCGTAGTCAACCTGTTGAATTTCTGAACGTTGCAAAAAGTTCAGAAGTAAATTGACTTCACGAAGCTCGTTTACAGAGTTAGGAATTTAATCAATACTTTAGTTAGCAAATCTACAAACAAAACTACAAAAATTATGGTTATTAAAATTAATGTTAGCAGGAGTGAATCTGCGTTGGATTTCAAGGCTGGCATTATTGTTGGTGTTGATGCTGGTTCCTAGATAGACGAAATTATTAACGACTTCAAAGTTATGACTGTCAACAATGACGTGAGGGCAGAGTCGTGAATGCGATGACTGTTAGTGTGATGACAGGAGATATTTCGTCTTGCCCTCGTTCACTACCAGACCCATATCATTCTCTTCCTTTCCAGTATGCGGTGGCAACGTCAATAAAGAAGAAGAAGATATAAATCATCTTGACAAAGTAATAAAAATCCAGGTTTTTTTATGTTGTTTTTGTTTGTTGGTGCCCGTGGTCAGCTGAGGACTAGACAGCACTTTTATTGACGTTGGCTGATTGCTTGTAGAAAATATCGGTGTGGCTGTTTAACTTAAATTTTAGTGGACGGGATATAGGTAATGTTGATTCATTTTGAATATTTTCTCCACCATTGAAATTCAAGTTGATGTTCAGTATAGCACGTTTTTTTTCAAAATTCTCAGGAATTCGTAGGCTTTTTTCGCTTCGAAATCCTTTTGACGGGGACATTGAACTGCGGTTTTCCTTTTTATTACTTAAAAAAATACCGTCGTTCTTGGTATTGCAAATTATCCCGGTTCTGAAGTCGTTTAACTAATCTTTTTTTATATTGTTCTGTTTTTAATCCATACTTAAATTTCGCAGTTTTCAAAATATCGAAGGTATTGCTCAATCTTATTCTCCAATTATCCCCCGATTTTAGATTTCTTATTAAATCAACTGTTCCGCTTCACAAACACAGAAGCAAAATTAGAGCTGTTCTATCGGCCCGTCAAATAAGAGAAGTTTTGCGCCCTTTCTGTAAATCATAATCACCAATTCGAAATTTCTTCCCTCTACCTATCGGTTGAATGTACCATTACCACTTTAGTCGATATCTCAATATCCTTTGTCTTTCTGTTGAGTTTCATCTAAATATTCTCTTTTCCCTTCCTGTAGGTGCCTCCATTTGTTGGAAAAACATCAAGACGCAAAAATACAAATTGAATACCAATTATATTCCTCTGCTGGTATTATTTGTGTATTGCATATAATCGTGCACAAGTATCCAGTATGCTTGCTTGTGCACGCACACTTTTTGAATAACCCTTGGTGAAATTCTTCATGGACAGTAAATAATATTGATGGCTTTGCTTTTGAAATTCCCAAAGCAATGTGAAATTAATATCCTGCAATAGGGTGTCTGCCATTCGGATCACAAGTTGGACACTCCCGGTAGGAGTTGGCGTATGATCAGCGCTTAAGTATGATGAGCGCAACTGTTAATACGAATTCTAACGAACATTTACTTCCTGCTGTGACACGAGCTGTGGTTGCAGTAGGCTTGCTGCTGACTCTGGCAATGTGATCCCCAATTCACGCAAGGCCCCCAATATTTGGTTTTCCACTTTAATTAAATCTTTTATTTTGAACTTTTGAAAAACTATTTGAGCGCGTGGAAAATTTTAACACCTTATTCTAAAGTGCTTTATATGGCGTACTACTGCAATACCAAATCATAAATTCACTTGGAGGGGTTGAAATTTTCTACCGAAGGGCAGCCGCAATTAAAACTATTAATATTTTTAATTTGAATTAATTTTCCATAACTTTGGATGTTGGTCGGGCCAGGGCTCGATCCCAAAACTTTCTGCGCTTCCAAGCCCTCGGTTGTTGCGACCGCCACCGAAGTTAAATACTAAGGGTCCTGAAAAAGCAAACAACTGGAGCAGAAATACGATAAAAAGGTCAAGGAAAGCTTTAACAGCACTTTGTGCTTGTAAAGCAACGATTGCCAAAAAAAGAGGGACTTAAACATAACTCATCATGGGAGGAATCAAAGTATTGGGCACACAAATATTTTCTTTCGTATAAATTCCGGATTGGATGGGTTACCCAATCCCTTTCTTCTGTTTTAATAATAACTCTTCCAAAAAAGTCCTTAAGAAAAACGATTAAGAAATTAAAATTTTACAGATTAAAGAGCAAAAGATATGTTTATAGATGGCTCAAATTTCAATGATAGAAGTAGATGTGGCATTCACTCACCATTGGCTTCAAACTACATAAATACAATGCCTAAAAGTAACATAAACATTCAGTTGTTGGTTGCAATATCATCTCCTAGGTACATCCAGAAGGGCTTAAGTAATCTCACGTATTTTATCCTCTCTTAATGAATTGAAGCAGCCAGTAAATTGGTCTATTCGCTAAGTAACTATATGACATCCAGTTTTGAATGTTTATATAAATATGATCTAAAATTTTATATAATACCTTTGCTTTTCACAAAAATATATATTTAAACACCTATTAACAAATCATCGACAAGACGTACTATATAAATTGTATAAATTGTATCAATCGTATTACTCTTTTCAGGTGGTTTAAACATGGAATCAATCCCTTAACAAAATATGAGGACTGGATGTTCACTGGCAATTATTGGGAGCGCAATTACTCAAACATTTCTGAAATATTTTAATGCGATAAATTACTTGTTTCGTGTTGAGAAGAAAAAATAAATGTTGTTGTCGTAATTTAAAAAATAATAAATATAGTATGTTATGGATATCAAATCAAGTCAATGAAGTAAGTAAAAAAAACTGTGAACATAATAGAGAAGGTAAAGAAATAGGAGCGTATAACCAAAACACTTACAGCTAATTTATTTATACAACTAATGTACCAGGACGGACTTAGGACGGACTCTGATTGTGTGCTCTGTGCTTGCTAGCTTTCCTTTTTAAATTTTCCTGAATCAAATACTAATTTTGATTAACTTCATATCGGCATAATTCTACAAAATAGACACATTTCAAAATCCTGAATCATCACTACGCAAAATAAAATAAATGCCTCCTTCGGGAATTTTTAATTTCTTTATTTATTTAAAATAATATGTTATAATAAACATTTTCAATTACAAGTTATGCTAAGTTTGGGATCCGCCATGTAAAAAAATCACACAAAATCTGATGAGGGGACTTCCGCAAACGTTTTAAGGTTTAAGACATTCTTGCCGAGGGGCGACAGCAATTCGAAAATTTAACTTAATTTCTTTTTCGATTAATTTTCTATAACTTTTGCGTGATTGTCGTATCAGGACTTGCACCCTGGCTTTCCAAAGGCAGTACGCAATGCTAACAACTCGACTACCGCAATACACGTATTATAATGCGCTGTTATCTTTCTCGATGATGCTTCAGTAAGCAATTTTCATAAATCATAAGTTCAACACAACTTTGAATGGTCCAATCTTAGGATAAGTTAAAAGCGCAATATTTTTAAGGTCATCGTTTCGGGCATAGGCTTTGGTGATTGTTACTGAAAGTACTTACGAAAGTTAGACTTTCTGCTTCTTTCTTTTGCCAGCTTGGCTGCCGTTCGGTTTTTATGATCACTATACTATACAATATATCGGTTAACCGTAAAGATGGTTATTTTGGTGTATTCATCAAAGAAAAAACAAAGAAAAAATGCAAAAGAACTTAACCGGAAAAAATCCAACTATTACTAACCATTTTTAATCAAGTTTTTATTTTCTTTAATTTTTACTTTATTTCTAATCAAACTAATATTTGACAATTCATTTTCTAGATATTAAAACGACAGAAATATGAGTTCATGATATGAATGAAAGTATGTATTTAAGGAAAAGAGGTAAAAATATGTTGAGTTTTGACATATTTTTAAAGAAGTTGTTTGTACATCTGATAATCTCAATCTCTTCGCGAGTTGTTGTTCTGAGCTAGATAAAGGATTAAAATAGCTTCTTTAGTATATCCTTTATATCTAGTGGTATTGCTTGAGACATCTGCGTTTCAGGCTCCCAGATAATTATTTGTTAGTATGATTCTATCGCTTTTCATAAATTTTCGTATATCTGGTCCAAACGAAAACAAAAATTTTGTAATCATTATATCATTACGAAAAGCACGAAGTGCTATTATACGTACCACCTTTAATTTCATTTCCACTGGGTTTCGGAAAGATGGACTTCAAACAATCCACTACTTCGATGAATTTTCCACAGATACTCAATTATATATATATAATATATATAGACTGATATCAGCAAAATATCAGTAATATCCATTATTATAGGGTCATTGTGTATTCCCACATTTTGATGGATCGTGAGAGTTATCAAAATCCAACTTTTACTTACAAAGGAAACCATAGTATTTCGGGAAACGCGCCATTTTCACAAGACCTTGCAAAATGTGTATAATTCTGAGATCACAACAGATCTTCCGTTTATATTCTTCATATTTGATTTTCACTATTAAATCTTGCAATGCTTTATATTTTCATATATGTGCCGAATCCCACTATATTGGATAGATTAGATCTAACCCTCAAGAGAATTATAGCAAGCTTAAAATGGTATTCTTCTTCATTGGTGTGGGTACCGCTTACGCAATTAGACCTAGCCAGAGTAACCACCGTCCCTTAATTGCGGAACTATGATGATTTCACAGCTTAACTCTTACAGTTCATCGTTCCATCTCCTGTGGTATTCGCAGCTAACGCTAAAAGGACCATAAATCGTTCGCAAAGCATCTCTCTCAAAGACTCCCAGGTCGCCGCATCGGATGTCGACATCGTCCATGCTTCGGCTATTGCTGCACTTTACGCTTGCAAAACGACGATAGAAATAAGATAGGGTCAAAGACGGAATATCATGTACTGGTTTTATACATCGGTAGTTAGACCAATCCTATTCTACGGCGTCACTGTCGAGAAAATTACCTTCAGGAGCAAGCTAGAGAGAGTTCAACGGTCGGCTGCTATCCTGGTAACAAGAGCATCGCTATCAACTCTCTTAAAGCACAGTTAACTCTTTTCAATGTCCTTTCTTCTGGGCCTGTACGGAAAATTACAAGCCAACTGCAACACAATTCTATTCAATGCACCTCAGTCTTGGGAGAGATGCAGTATAGGATACACTACACCAACTCTTTTCCAAGAGAATCCCAAATTAATGAGAAAAAATCAACGCCCTCAATCAGGGAGCCATAGCCATCTTTACAGACGGCTCAAAGTTCGATGAATAAGTGGACTGTGGATTCTACTCTCCGATGTTCTCAATATATATAAGTATAATCAGCAGATCACTGCTTGTTGCAGCGTCTTCTAAGCAGAATTCATTAAACCATGGAAGTAGCTCAAATCTACGGTTGTAGTACAATCAGTTACGATACATTCTGATAGATATCTACAACTTAACAGTATCACCTCAATGTGATAGAAACAGCTAACAGTCGAAATTGGACAAAAAAAATAAAAAAATCTTGCCCTTTCAGACCGTTTCCCCACTTATAACATGCATAATAATAGGGCACTGTTTAATGCGGTTCGATGGGAAAATAATGGTCAACCACTCTAATGATTAATAACGTTGTCATCAATTGGGGTTTCGGATTCACCTTCCCCGGGTGCTGCATTTTCACTGCCATTTTGCAGTCTGGAAAAGTGTTCCCTCCGTAAATTCGGTATATTCTGGGCATAACTCACTAGATGACCTCTCAGGGTCCTACAAGAGTTCGCTCCGGTTTTGAAACCTTTTGTTAATCGCCGTACATTTTTGTAGAATTTTTTATCATTACCTTTGCCTGCCAGCTTCTCAAGCTCTTCACGCTCACTAATTTCTTGCTTCTCTCTTCATCTCTCGGTATCTATCCCCCCCTGCATGTGTTGCGGTCGATAGCAAGTAGGTGGTAGCAGCGGTACATAGGAAGTTTGAGATGCCGTTCCACAGTTCCGTTATATCGAGCTGCTGATGAGTGCTCTCAGAATGAAATTCATTCGGCTGTCCATTGAGGTTGTAGCATATCGACATCGAACATTCCTTATGCTTGTCGAGGGGCGTTATTTGATACAGAGAGGCGTGAGTTACATATACAAACTCAAATACACACACTAATATTAAAAATGACACGATTGACGAATTTATAGAAAACATAATATAATAAGCACGAAATAAATTGTACAATAATTAAAAAAAAAATGTATGAGGTGTACAACTTTGCTTCCGCCGTTTTTTCTCAAAATTAAAAGCTTTATTGGGAAAAGGTGCTTACAGATATATTATTCAAAGTATTGTCCTTGGCTAGCGACAACTTTCTCCTATCTTTTCGGCAATTTTCGGATCCCAGCTCGAAAAAAGGAGTCCTCTTTTGACGCTATTCATGAAGCAATCCATTTTTCCAAATCTTCGAAGGATTGAAAATGTTGATCTGCCAGGCTCTGTGCCATCGAACGGAATAGGTGGAAGTCAGAAGGGGCGACATCTGGGGAATACGGCGGGTCGGGCAAGACTTCCCATTTTAGCGTTTCCAGTGACCACTTTTGCGACATGAGGCCGAGCATTGTCGTGTTAGAGGATGACTTTGTCATGTCGCTCTTGGTATTGTAGCCGCTTTCCTTTTAGCGCGCGACTAAGGCGCATCAGTTGCGTTCGGTAGCGATATCCTGTGATGGTTTCACCCGGTTTTGAGAGCTTCAGCTGCATTTTTTTCGAATTGTAATAGAAAAGTAAAACTTCCCGCAAATGGCGAGAATTAGGCACATAAACGGACATTTTCGAGCGTGAATAATACGAAAACAAGAACAACTGTCACTGAAACGGCGATGACATTTCGTTAGGCACTGTCCACACTCACTTTAAAGGCATTATCATCTATATATTTCAACCAGCCTAAGCCGGTACAGCCATCTATCGGAAAACGGACGAAGCAAAGTTGTACACCTAATAATACCAAAATTATTTGTCGGTTGCAATTTGATCATAAAAGAAAATATTTTGTTTAAGAAAAAAAATGTAAATTATTATTAAAGAAATTGAATAAAGGCAGTTGTTAAATATCCACGGTGGAGGTTTGATTGTTATTTTTTAAAAACCCTCTAAAGTAATACCATAAGGGAAGTGGCGCAGGCGGTACTCCTTTTTCTTTTATATAGAAAGGAGCGTGAAATTAAATAATTTAATAGAAGTGCAAGATACAACAAGAAATGTCCAACAGGGATATTGTGGAGCAGCTTGCAAGAAGAGAGCAGCAGCTGGGACAACTCAGACTCGCTTATGTCACAGTAGGATAGGGATATTCTGAACAGGACATTGAAAAGTTTTCGTGATCTTCCAGTCTTTACAGCACAAGAAGACGTAACCATCTACTCATTTCTTAGCAGCGTGAAGCGACAGTTTCGGGGTAGAAACAAATGGAATCAACATTTTTACAAATATGAAGAATAAAACCAGAAGGACCTGAAATTAATAATACCTGCCAAAGAGATAATTAAATATTGAAAATAGAGAATACTTAGCACTAATAGATACATGTGCTAGTCATAATTTATTTAATAAAGAAATAAATGTCTTTAAAATATATAAATTGAAATATCCCATAACATTTAGTACATCGAAAAAGACTATAGGAAGTTAAATGACTCAATTCTAGATAAATTAGATAGAATTCAGTTTTTTACAACATAAGACTTAGCCAAAGGTTATCATCAGGTTTTAGTAAGGAAGGAGACAGAGAAAAAACTTCCTTTGTAACCCCAAATAGTTTATATGAAATTAAAAAGATGCCATTTGGTCTTAAGAAATCTTAAGAGATTATATTAACGAAAGCTGTGTAGTATCTTAGATGATATTTCAATCTTTAGAAAGTAAATATTTGAAGATACAAATTGATAAATACAACCTTCTGAAGAAAGAAACTGAACGAACTTCAACGAAGGATAGCATGAAATCAAACCCAAATAAAATTGCAATTATTTAAAATTTAGAGTTAACATGAACCGAAAAACGGACAATAAGTGTGTTTTGAAATAACGCGCGTTAGAAATTTAAGCTAGGATTGGGATAAGAGCCTGACTTCTTACAAAAGCCGTTTACGGCTGATTAATATGCCTACACTCCATAGTCGTAGAAAGAGGCTTGGAATTTTATTTTTAAACTAATGTTATCCATAGCCCATTTCTACCTAGCGATCTTAACTTTAACATCCCTTTAAGATCATCTAGACACTTTAGGCCTCTTTCATTGTGTTCATGCACAACAAACTTTCAAATACACGACGCTTTTAGACTTTTATCTTTTATGTAACGACTTTAATACACATCTCGCCAATATTGATTCCTTTGACTCGCTATCTTGTATCCTAACCTACTTTCTGAGTGCTTTAAGTAATTAAGTAGCTGATGAACAAGTATGTAGCTGTTTAGTGTAAGAGGTAAGTGTAACTGTGACCTTCCGCTGCCGAGTTCACGGCAGTCCGGACTGTCACTGGTTTTCGGTCACCAGTCTGTTGGATTTTTCAATTATCCCTCAGACGCGCCCCTCGGCGCGAATTTCGGCGTTAGTGAACTCCGTGTTTACACGTCTATAACTGTTGAACGCAATATCCAAACTAATCATGCATAGCGTTGTTTTGTAGGTTATGTCAAGACCTTTCATTATGTGTAATGTTGCCAGATACGAGCTCTGTAGGGCTTTGTACATAGCCGCGAAATTCAAAAGACAAAAAAGCGGAAGGGAGATATTTGACAACCATATATTTACCAAGTAATTAACACAAATATAATGTAAGATAATTAAAAAATATGGTTATACCTTCGCCTAAATGAAGTTTTTCAAACAGAGTAATGTATACAAGCTTAGGGTGTAACAAAAACTTACTTGTGATTGATATAAACTAATTATAGATTTATAACAAGGGTACAGTGACATTAACAAAAATCATCAAAATATTCGTCTGATAAAAACAGTGTTGATAAGTTTAATCTGCATATGGTATGCTTATATATGTATACAAAACGTCCGCAAATACTTATCTCAACCTATCCCAGTTCAATGTGAATTCTATACAGATGATGTCAAAAAAATAAAAAAAATGCATTAATGATACTCCACAGCGGGAATGTAGAATATTCATACTGTTTCGACATTTTTGGACCACTGCGACTATGTTTTTTAACTCCTGTTACCGCTTATATTCAATTTGCTTGGTACAACTATGATTGGTTAGTGTGCTCTTTTGAGAGCATGCGCATTGGAATGCTTCACAATGAATGAAACAAGGAAAAATCAATACAAAATAACAAAATAGTCAAAGTACAAAATTACTGGCTTTTAAGCATTTGCAATGTTTTGGAAAAGTGCGTAGCGAAAATAAACAATAGCATAAAAAGTCAACAGTGATTTTGAAATGGACTCAAGCCATCAAGTTAATGTCCCATTGCGATCCGGTGGTAAAAAAATACGAAAGCGGCGGGAACTTGATGCACTTATTGCACATTCATTCGGAAAAAAGCAATCTGTCCGCCGAAATAATTTAAATATACATTCTCAAGATAAATTATTATCTGCATCAACGGACGATGCAGAAGATTATGCTTGGGTTCAAATGCACAGAGTAAGTTTTAACTTCGACAATAAATAAAGATATAAATAAAAAATATGTTGTGCTTTAGCCAAAACATACCAACAGCACAAACCGTTGTCACAATCGAAAATATATGCTATGCAAACCTCTTCTAGTTTTCGTAGCAATTTCTATATTAATAGGACTTCTTTACTGGATGTATTTGGATATAAGACAGGAGATGTATGATTACAGACAAAAAATTGAAGAAGGTAAGAAAAGGAACTTGATAATTTCTTCTTGCTGAACTATTTTAAATTTTCATTTAAATTATTTAGATAATAGCAAGCTTTCTAACCGACTCGTTATGCGTTTTAGTGTCTTGTATTAAGCCGTTCGCGATGATGTGCTGAGCCGTCAACTAATTTTAAATGCCGTGAATATAGTAGTATTCCTTACAGCTATGATGATATTAAATAGGCATCGGCATTTGGTATTAACTATGCGAAATATCGGTGTATATTCAATTAGTTTGAATTAGTCATTTGTAAGCGAGGTGAGTTCATACTTGACTCGAAAAAATTACGCTGTCAGTTTTGCCTTTTCCCGACAACAAAACCACAGTTCTGAGAAATAGTGGTCCAACTGTGCAGTCATGAAATTTCAGTGATAGCGTTTTAAATTGTCATGAAAAATTCCTAAGTTAATTGGACAACTGACGGTTTTAACGCCACTTTAGATACCATACAATCATAAATACTATTAAAATACGAGTATATTTAAGTGTATATGTATATCAGCGTATAACTCCCCATGATTATAACAGTCTTGTACTCTGATTTCAAACTGCCGTTCGTTCACAAAACTTTACTCGAGTACGGGAAAATCTTGGTTGATACATAAAAAATTTAAGCAAATTTAAAATTGTGCAAATAAAAAGAATTTTGTAAATATTATAAAAGTTTAGGAGCAATTGCAAGAAATGAAATATAGTTTAAAAGGAGTAAATGATGGACCACCAGATAATATAATATGCTACCTAGCTTAGCGCAATGAATAGCGACTTCAAGATGAACTGACGACGCAGTACCACCACTTAAAAGTTCGATGAATATCGTACATATATTTTTAAGAACTCGTTTGTGAGTAGACTTATGCCTATAAAAAAAAAAATCAAAAGAAAACATCCTCCAAAAAAGTCCCTGCATAAAGAAATTGTGGACCCCAAGTTTGGACCGCCTTACTGAAGCATTGTATTCGTAATTGTTGAATTTACTCAACGATTACCCAGCCAACCGACCCAAGGGGTGCCATCTGTATAACGGACGGAATTTTCTGAGTCATGAGAGGCAAGAGCTTGTTAAATGTCGAGATTTAAAAATGTATAACTACAGAAAAAATAATTCCACTGCGGAAATTTAATGAGTAAAGACTTTTATATGTTAACTGTTGCGAGAAATGAAAAGAATTTTTAATACCAAAAGTGTGTCTACAAGTTTATACTACGCAATTAGAAAATTTAACATAATTTTTTATATAAATTAATTTTCTATAACACAGGACTTGAACCCAGACCTTCCGCATTACGAATCTCACAATAATAACAGTATGTCAAACAGTGCTGTCATATATTGACAAGAAAGAAATAACAAAAGAGGAAAAATGACGTAAAATGATAATATTTGCAATACGAAAATAAAGAAAAATGCGCAAACACAATTTAAATACGCTGTGAAATGTGTGTTTGAAGCTAGTTTGCGTTATGAGATATATAAGGAATTCGACAGATATCTACAGGTCTATTCTCACTGTTACCGGTAAAGTAAATTTTGTTACTTTTTTTCAACATCCGAAATATAATTTGGTATTCTGGCGAACTGGTTACAATATTTGAAAAAAATTTGGCAGCACTGCTTTTTTCGTCCTTGTCAAATTACATTTGCCAATTGACAAAGTAAAAGGAAAAATATTTACATCGAAATGGAAGACGGTGCGCAAAAAAACAATAAGTTTTATTAATTACAATAGTTTACTAAATCATAAATATTTGAACCTAATTATGGAAAATATGCCTGGACAACAAACAAGTCGTACGGTATATTTTCCTTATTAAAGATCAATTATTTATGTCTTAATAATCATATAAATAAAACTTATTTTTTGGTTGCGATCTGTTGTTTCGATGTGAATATTCTTTACCAACTTGCAAAAGTAATTTAAAATGGCCAAAGTTTTGACAAATAATGTAACCAGTGCGCTAGAATATCAAATCCAACTTCGGTTATTAAAAAAAGTAACAAAATTTGCTTTACCGGTAACAGTGAGATTAGGCCTGATTGTGTATTTTATTGTTAAAGTAGGAAACGTACGTTGGAGTTTGCGAGCTTATAGATCAGCTTAGTATTGCCAAAAACCCTTTTTCCCACATCACAACATTTTTTGTCCTTGCCTTTCTATTTTTTATACAACCAGAAGTTCATATGCTCTACTTTGAGCTCCACGTGTCTAGGTACATAAATTTAATTAGAGAGCTCCTGATCCAACTTGTGGAAATTAGTTTTCGCTAAGTAAAATCGAAAACTTGAGTTTGCGAAAATATTACTTATAGTTTTGAAAGTTATCTCCAAGGTAGGGTGATATAAATCCTCTTGCAGGAAAAGATGTTCATATTTAATAATTGAAAATTTAGAAGTACAATAAACATAAACTAAATCTAAATCTTACCAAAGTGGTACAGCACTATATTCATTTAACTGAGGTACGGAACTCAGACTTCTTCGGAGAATGAGCAGCAAGCCGAAGCCTGCCTGCGATTCTGTTGAGTCCATCACTTCTAGAAAATTTGAATCCACTATTCAAAATCTCAATCAGTCAGTCAGCTTCAGTTTTTTGACTGAGTTCAAATTCTCGCACGAAAGCCTCGGGTAGCTAAAACATACTATCTAGAAATTGATTAAAGTAACCAAATTAAATATTAGTATTTATTCGAAAAAATAAATAAATTGAAACACTTTACGGATGCAACTATATAGCAATAAGGCAACAACTACTAGATAACTAAGCTGTGCCCAAATAAATTTAGCAAAGGGAGCACCACTGACAACAGAAACAAAAAAAATTATACTTTCTTCTCTTCATTCATATGACATTCGTAATAATGATTGGCTTATTGGCTGGGTCGCGACCTCGCATATCGCATTGACCATATATACAGGGTCCACCACGTAACTTTTTTTTTTCAATAAAACAAATGCCCATTCGGCAAAGGCAAACCGCATCGGATGGTCTCGTGGCTTCAATTCTTGAACCAATTGAACTTTGAACGGTGTCATACCAAGGTCTTTTTTCAAAATTCGCCTAAGGGACGTCTCGGAAATGTCCAATTGTTGAGAGCGACGCTTCACTGATGTTCCGGGCGTCTTACGCACACTCTCGGCCACAGCAGCAATATTACCGGCAGTACGCACTTTTTTGGTTTCTCACGCGTTGGTTTATCAATAATTGTGCCGGTTTCTCTCAATTTTTTTCAAAAGAAAGCACACATACGGAGCGGGCGGTGATTTGTTACGGCTCATTTCCGTGCGTAATTTTCGTACACATTTTCAAAGTAAAACTGAACTATTTTAACGCGTTTCTCAATCGTATACACAACCATTTTCGTTCAGCGGAAGGATAAAACTAACTTTCTGTCAAATCAGATGTAACATCAGTGCTACCATACTCAAAATAACCACTAGTTCAAAAAAAAAAAAATGTTAGATGGCGGACCCTGTATATAAAATTATTGAAAATTAAGTGTTATAAATTAAACAAATACTAGTCGAGAACAATAAAATAATTACTGTGTTAAGTTATAAATAATTTGTTCTTACAGTATTTACACTTTCACAACTACATTTTTAGTTAATGCGGGCATTTATGTCCCATAGATGGGCCATGCGATTACAAGGATTAATCTCTTCGAACTACCATTTAAATGTCTGATAGTCACAATAAGTGGACATTTTCACACGGCATCAAAATAAAAATAGATTTCGCTTAAAAACTTTGTGGCAGCACCAAAATTTTGAATAATTGCTTTGAAAACAATTGTTTTACAATTTATATGTATTATATGTATATATTTTGGTGTAGAACACGCTAAACGCGATCGCGATAAGTGCATTAAAGCACAACGAATTCGAGTTGTACGTATGTACATAGGTAAAGAAGCAGAAATGCGCGCGAAAAAGATTTTTGGGAACAAACTCATTCGGACGTAACGGGACTATTCACAGTCAAATTATTTTCGGGATTGCCATTTATAACATCTTTTGTTGACGATTTTTCTCACAAAATATTTTGGATGAAAAAATAATAAACGAAGTGTTTGTGAAGTTTAAAAAATCTAAAATCATTGTGACCATACAGTAAAGACTTTTCGTTCAGACAGTGGGACTGAGTATACCAATGTACTGTTTGAAAATTATTTTCTGGCAGGAGTATATCACACCTAAATAACGTCGCCGTATATACCTGCACAAAAATGTATAGAACAAGGATTCAATTCAGCAATTGTAAACAAAATGCTTTGCGTGTTAATAGATTCGGGTATTTGTAATAAGGCTTGGGCAGAAACAGATGAATTATCAAGCGTTAAAGGGCGCGTAGTACCTGTACAACAGAAAGTAAACAACAACAAACCCCATCGAGTACAGAGATTCATCAAATAATTAAGGTGTAAATGCTTCGCCTACAGAGTTTGAGAGCGCGACTGATTGAATGATGAACCATAAATCGGTGTAAGACGTTCAAAGATAATTGCAAGTAAAAACGATGGCTATGGCTATACAAGAATAGATGAACTAAGAGACTTTTTTACAGACTTATGCTGCAACTAACCCAACGCGCGTACCAGCCGTCCATAGTAACCTATCTTATGAGAGCGCCATGTAAACACAAAGTTGTCACCGCTTGCCCATGCCATGAGTGACGGTTGTTCCGCAGAAACCAACGAAGATTTGATTTTTTCCGTAAAACCGGCTCGGCTCATTTTGCATTTGCTATACAAGGCTGCCAGTATAGCCTTTCTTAAAGTAACATTAAATAATCGAGGATAATGCGTAGTTTTGTTCAAAAGAAATGAAAAATAAATGCGTAACTAATTATTTGCCTTGTGTTTATGTTCAAGCAAATAAATTATGAAATTTGTTGACGAAAATTATGAATTTGTTCAAAAGTGTGCAAACACACAGGCAGCTGGCAACAGCCACTTATGGACGGCTGGTAAGTGAAATGGGTAGTTGCAGCCTTACTTCCGGCTCAAAACGTCATATAGTCTAAGTGATGAGATGGCCAGATTAGTAATAAAAGGATTCTGTCAGAAGAAAGGTGCCTAGCTCCAGCAGTTAGTTACACATTCCTTCTGTTTTTGCGAATTTATCGCTTGCGCTAACCATAATGCTCGACAACGAACATTAACTTTTAATAAAAATTGAAGAAATATATGCAAAAAGCATATATCATTTTTAGTAAATGAGTAGCAATAAATTACAAAATTTACCAAATCAAAAACATGTTGTGGTTTCCTCTTTCGAAACAACACTGCTTGACTGAGGAGATTCAAATAAAAGAATAGTGTCACGTTTTCGCCAAAATCTTGAGAATGATAGACATGGACTGGTAGAGCACTCGCCTGTTATGTCAAAATTCGTTGGTTCGAACCCTGCCATAAGGAGTCTGATAAAGAGAGCTGTCACCTCTACCATTTTCTTTGTTGTATAATAAAAAATATTCAGTACATACAAACAAACTATGGCTTTCACTCACTAAAAACTTATAACAAAAACCATTTTGGTTTTTTATTTTATTTCTTTTTTATATAGCTTAGGTGACTTCCCTATATACTTTATTTAACTTTAACCTTCGTAAAATATCAATCTTTTGTCGATGGCGCTAACAATAAATATTCGTTGCTTAGTTAGCGATTTGCCGAGTAGTTTACGATAACAGCTGATCAAGCGAAAGGGAATATCGTTAAAAAAAAGTACAGGGGTTATTAAAATCATTAAAATTATGAATAAGTTATTTTAGCGATATTCCCAGCACAGAAGGATGTTGTTAATACATAGCCATCGACAAAAGATTGATATTTTACGAAGGGTAAAGTTAAATAAAGTATATAGGGAAGTCAGCTAAGCTATATAAAAAAAAAAATAAAATAAGAAACATAAATGGCTTTTGTTGAATTAAAGGTGGAGGATTTCATCAAGAAATCTAGTCGTATATGCAAACTATAAAAATTTGTGTATGTTTATGTTGATGATATCTTGCTAATTCCAAAGAATATGAATGGTTTAGCAATCCGATAGTTAATTCGTGAGGTCTCATCAGTACTTGTTACGAGTGTTAGGCAAATTAAAACATCAAGGGAGTTAAAATCGATCAATCCTAATGTATTAAACATATGTGAAATCACTTTGGCAAGTATTCCTGCAATGCAGTGTTAAAAACATTGGAAACAAACCAAAATCTCAATTTGAATATGATTCCAAAATACTAAGATGACAAACGTAAGATGGCAAAGGTTCTCTAAATGAAAGCACTTAGGTGTCTGTTATTCTTAGCGTAAGTTACACATCATCGTGTTGTGTTGTTTTTTAACTAATCTCGGTAAAGCACATTGTATCACAATTAAACTGTAACTCTATCATCGACAAAAGCTAAACACATCTATCTAGTTAAGTCCCTTGGTTTATCAAACATTGATTCGTATGTAACATAATATGTATTAATTAATAACTTATCCCAAAGGTGATTTGTTCTATATTATTGATGTATTAATAACAACTTAAGTTTTGTCCTAAATTTAGTAATTTTTAAATTTAACTTCCTTTCCGTCTTACGTTCATTGAAGGAGTCGTTTTATTTGACATTGAACAATAAACTATATAATATAATATTTATTAAACCCTTCAAATATTTCCTTTATCTATTCATATATTGCAGTTGCTATCATGAATCGGGATTTACCAGATACTCTGCAGAAATGGCACGAACTATCTACTTTACTGCTAAAAAATCAAACAACATCAATTATTCGCCTCAACGACTTAGAGCGAAATTTGGAAAATTTAAGAATAAATTTCACAATTTATAGAACTTCCGCAGATGCTCAGCAAAATTATGCAAAGGAAGAAAAAATAGTAGCAGATTTTGGAGCAAAAATTGAATCAGTACTAACTGATATGGAGCGCTTTAAGGATCATTATTCTGGCATACTTAAAGACCATACAAAAATTAAAATCGATTTAAAAGGACTGAGCGTAAGTATCCCCGCATTTTTATTGACGATCGCAAGGATTTAGCACATTTACCACTAAAATTATAACATTTGTGCAATTACAATTCCTTTTACTAGGAGTTCTGAAAATTAACTGAATTTTTTAAACTGTCAATTAACTTTTATTCAATTATATTTGCTTTATCTCTTGTTAGCTCATTCATGCTCAAGTATTAATAATATTTTTGATAAAACAAATTTTCATTTTGATAAGAAAAATGTAACCATAACCTTACTGGTTGAAGATTTCGCAATACATAGTTGCAACGTCGCTTTCGTACAAATGAACGCGATTCAGAGAGAATCGACACCAATTACTGTTATCTTCTTCTACTAATAAAAATATACACCATTTACGCAATGACAGCCTCTTTCTTTACTTCCGTCAGCATGTCCTGCATCGAGAACTCTCAAAGCTAGAATGCTTTCACCCATTTGGACAATATGATAAGCCATGATTACCACTGTCCCTTTATTCGCAGAACTATATCATTGATGCTGTATAACTGAGACAGCTTATCGTTCCGTTCTCTGACTTTATTGAATTCCTGTATAGGCGAATTAATCTTCTTCTTTATTGAACTTGGCACCGCGTACGCGATTACAGACGAATTAATATTAGCGCGTCATTATTAAGACGGGTATGAGAGCGACTTGTAGAGTTTGGTTTTTGTTCACCGAGGGAAAAACTTACTTTTCAATAGCCTAACCAATAGTCTAAACTGCAACAATCTCACTAATTTGTCTCCCCATATAACCCCAATCTAATGAAAAAAAAACAAATTTCTATGCAAACACTTGATTTTAGACTGATTGCTCTATGGCAGTTATATGACATTGCAGTTCAATATGATTGATTTTTATAAATCATTTTGTAACAATGGGTAAATTTCAAGAACAAAATTACATATAAAGTAGAAAAAATGAAAGAATATATTAAGCCTATACAAAAAAGAAAAATAATAAGAAATTATATACTTTATAAATGTACATATGTACATATATGCACAAAAAGCGCTATCCCTGACACAACGAGCCGGATTGAATGGGCAAAAGAGAATCATGTCAACAGGTCATAAGAAGGACACACTCCAATCATTTACTGGGCAGGTAAGGGACATGAGATTACGCATTCGAGGTTCAAGACGCGGTGACGTCACCATCCTCAATGTGCCTCTAAAGATGCTTCGCGGCCTTCACAATAACAACGCCGAACACATTACATCACATCAAAGTCATCATCAACATCATTAACACATCGCTGAATGACACCTCTTCATACCTCATGTACAAGCCATCTGTAAAACATGAAAACATATGTACACGAACATATATAAAATATACAGTAACGCGCGTAAGACAAAGAGCAAACATCTCACTGTCCACGGCTAAGCAACTAAGAAGACAAAAATTGTGAGTCGACCGCTGTAGCGTGAGGTATCTTTTTTACGAATACGTAAGATTCTAATCCATAATTGACATATAAAGAGAAGGCGGGTAACTACTACCTCGTCTACTTTAACTACATTGACAGAATGTACTAACCCTATATAAGCCCACAGTTTACTCCGATGTAGTCACTATCGAAGATGTTTTCACCTGTCTTAAATATGTACATAATATAAAAAAACTTGAAATTTTTTAGTAGTAAAATTTCAATGATTTTTTAGGGAGTTTATTTCCGGAAACTTTTTTATAATACCACTAGTGTTTTTTTTTTTGGCATTTGCATCATTAGTGCTTAATATTTCAACTATCACTATTTTTGAAATCTGTATTAAGATATTTAATTTATGTCATTACCCTTTTAAATGAAATTATTTGTAAAAGAATATAGCATCTCTCAAAAAGTTTTTTTTACTGAAAGTCCTAAAAATTCCCTTCAATTTAGTGCTCTCAATCACGGCAGCGGAAGAAGGTGTTCTGAAATATATTATTCCTTATAGATTCGTATCGATTTTTAATACACATTTCGTACAGAGATGAACATATTCAGAACATAGTTATTCGTTTCAACATTTTTCATTAACTTTTATATAAATCCTATTTCCAACATGTGAGTTTGAGGTGTGATGCGCCTACCTAATATCTAACCCTTTAAATATTTGAGAAACACAAACATTTTTTATTACAACACATTTAGTACGGATCTCAATATATATATATATATATTTCGATTTAATATTTTTAACCACCATTTAAAATGAAATTCGCTTGCTATTGTTCTCTAATTGTTCTTCCATTATTTCTCTGCTATCATTGTTAAAGCTTAAAACATTTAGATTATATTGTTACGATTTTACTGAATCAACCTCGATTATTTTCTAGATCCTTCGGGTACGATCTCTGGATTGTTAAATAAAAACACGCCAACTTAATTTGCAGTTTCTTTCGTTATAAAGATTCTATCTAATGTCCTTTATTTTCTCAGTAATTCACAATTCAATTATACTGCACTTTACTATTTATAATCACTAACATCAACTTTCACAATTTCCTCTACTTAAATGTAATTCCCAACGCGTTCACTTTACGTCTTCACTGATGTTAACGCCAACCAATTTGCTTTGTCACTGCTTTCACTTGCAGCTGAGTGTCGCCTTTATATAGCAGTCGGCTGCTCGCAGACGAAAGCGTAGAAGCATCGAATTGTTCGCTATGGAAGGTTCTTGTTTTATCGTACTAGTTATCGGCTTCTCTCTTTCATCTGACATTCGCCTCGCATTTTCGCAACAATATAATATTGTATTAAAAGCCTTTTTTGATTTATTGCCTTTCATACCTTGACCACAATTAAATACTTCTTATTATTATTCGTATATGTATGTATGTGTAGGTAGGCTGTGACCCAGTTATAAAGGTGCATTGTGGTTAAGTGAAATAGTTTTCTAGCTGTTATTTTTATGTTCCCTTTTTCTACAAAGATGCTCTAAACTCACTTGCATTATTTTAATGAAGCGCAATTGATATTGCAATTTAAATTACTCACATTGCTTCGAGGTATATTGCAAATACAGATATCGCAAATGGACGCAATTACTGTTGCAGGTGGTTCGGCTGGTGATGTTTACGTAGATGGTGGTGAACAGCTTTTTTAGAGGTGCTGTTGACGGTGGCTGCTTTGGCAGACTATGGTGATGCTAAGTGCTGATAGTGGTTTTATGAAACCAGAACACGTAAATAACAGTATGGTATCAATTTAAGTGAATTCACACTATTATTTCAAATAATAAATAACTAATTTCATTCTTGGTGATTTACGATCCACGTATTTGTTATAATATTAACGATAAGCTTTGGGCAGCTCGCCTAAACGTCCTGCTCTCTCTATACGCGCTTTGCGACTAGGCTGCTTGGCATCTCCTGTAGAGTATAGATATCATTCCGTACCACCTGCTTCGTCTTCAATTGGAGTTCCACTGTCTATGTGAGTTTACTTGTGATAGCTTTTTGCGATTATTAGTTATGATACATTGCGTTGTTTTTTGATGCTTCTATGGCTCTCGTAGCATGTGGTGGATTCTGGTTACTGTGAATGATACAGTGCGACACGCGCTTTCGACATTTTCTCATTCTTTTGGACATGTTCATAAATTTAGTGCATTTATTGCAACCAAGGTACTAGGAATTTCAAAAAATTCTTCCACCAACTGAGTTAATTTTTCATAGAATATTTGTCTTTTTATTTGCAAAATTCAATCCAAATGCCAAATTTTTCTCCCATTTGCCAGTACCTCTTCGTCAAATTCTCCTCCTTTATATTATTCTTTTATCCTTCACACCTAACTTCATCATGTAACGCGCTGTCAAAATTGAAAATTCAATTTGCTTAACGTTGATGCCGAGTTATTTTGGGATGGCGCGTTCAACGCTAATTTAGGCATATATATAATTGGCGCTTTGTTACCACTCAAGCCATTTTCGGCCGAGCTCCTCCTCCAATTTTTGGTTTTGCGACTTGATGTTTTTGCACAAATGGACGGACCTAGAGTTTATACTAAGCCGCCTCCGAACGGCTGATGGTTTTTTATGAGGAGCTTTATTTCATGTCAGAAACACACTCGGAGGGCGTTGACATTCTCTGACGAGGGGCGACCACAATTAGACGATTTAACTTAATTTTTTACTAAAACTAATTTTCTATGACTTTTGGGTATTGGTCGCACGAGGATTTGAACCCGAGCTTTCCGAATGGCAGTTCGCAATGCTAACCACTCGGCTACCGTGGCCGCCATATACGAGTACGCAGTGCTATAGCAGTGATACGAGGATTCACGTTGTTCCTAAATTTTTAGTTTTCGTAAATTATTGCTCAACTGCTGTTGTTGGTAGTTGTGAATTATCATAAACAAGTGCAAAACAAGCTTACCAGCAAATTACAAATCAAATTTGTAACAAGTTGGCATACATACCAACAAAGTATATGTACGTTTCTTTTTTATTTAGAGCACTGCGGATCACACCGTAGAAATGCCGTAGTAGCTTCGGGCTCAAATTACCATTGGGTACACATTTTCTTCCGGGCCTGGGATCAATTTGGCTTTGTATGAGGATCATATATAATATTTTTTAAGTTATGATAATATTAATAATAAATCTTATTAGAACCATATTAAAATTCAATGCGGCAAACTCTCCTACTGCAATAAATTTATATAATAATCTTTTCTTGTAATGTACCGGCCCATGTATCTTGTATTTTACTTTCTTCGAACATGCACTGAGTGCATTGCCACACATTATTTTTTACCCCTGGGTTGTTTGCAAATCATAACATTGAAAATGTGTACATCGATATGTATGTACATAAATATATACAAAATATATAGATGATACACAGGTATAGAGTGTTGAGCTTGCAATATAATTAATATGGAATGTTCCTTAGAATAAAACGGAAACCTAATATAACAGATACATTTGTATGTAGCCAATTGAATTCATTTTTTGTTGCAACGACCATAATATCTTGGCTGTTTTGATTCTATATTAATATTAAGCGTAGCCTAAATATACAAACATAAGCATACCTCTTGAATAAACGCAATTGTAACTATTAGCAAAGAGTGGTGTGCTCATATTGTATTTTTTACCTTTATTTTGTCTTTATTTGTAAGGACTCTTTCGGTTTTTATTTTTAGGAAAATTTGACAGACGCTCAGCAAAAAGCTTTGGGTCTACATGAAATTTCTTCGAACTATTCTCAGGAGGTGTCTAGCTTGAAGTTATATCTACGGAATAATTCCATTAGTTTTCAGGATTTCAAAAACGAAGTAAGACTAAACTTCTCCCATATATGGAATGAGCTAAATGGAAATAAGGTAGGTGAATTTATTGTACTTACGTATATACATATGTATATATGCCATATTTAAACAGAAAATTTAATTCATATATTTAATATTACTTCTTTACAAATATATATACCTTCAAAGGTATATTGCTACTATTAAAATACCAGTTACGAAGGAGGTAAAACCGATTCAGGAAATTGTGTTCGTTGACAAATACCATTAAAGTAAGATGCCTTGAATTGGCTTTGCCCTTTCACACTATTTTCTACGACGTGTGAGTGTTGGCAAATATTGATCTGTATCAACGGCACGTTGGTGAGAAGTCCGGAGTTGATGATATTCTCAGCTTCGATTAACAAACATTGAAAAGAATTCTTCCCTGGGGCAACTTCTTTTAGAGTTACATGGAGGACAGGCTTAGCGCATTTCACCATCCGCTCCCAAAAGCCACCTCTCGGTGAATTGTTTGGACAATTAAATACCCTCTCCATTTCTTTCGATGTCAGCTCGTTCTGAATACGAACGCAATCGAATAATTCACGAAACCGGATGCCCTCGTTGGTAGCACCAACAAAGTTCCTACCACTGTCGCTGCGAATCCTCACAGGCAAACCACGACGGTTAATAAAGTTTCGCAGCACTACGATGCAAGCATCCGTTGACAGGCCTGAATCGACTTCCAGATGTATGGACCGTTTATTAGTCGGACCAAAATATTTAATGCCTGTGTAAGAAAAAGGTCTTATAAACGCTGCTAATAGATCCTATGGTAGTTGGTCCATTATTGGATGTGAAGGAATGATCTAAGAAATCTTATAAACAAGGCAAGTTGAGATGATTCTCTTCAGTGCACGTGTGATGTTCGGTATCCAGTACCTTCTACAAATTTCACAAATCGTCGTCTCCACGTTTGGATGCTTAAATCTATTGTGACAGTCCATTAGAATTAAATTAGTAAGATTGTGAGTTGGAACTAAAATAATGGGTAACGTAGTGTAATACGGAAGACAGCTGGCGCCATTAATACGTCCACTAAAGCACATGAGTCCTTCCGAATCGATGAATGGATAAAGCTCATACGAGTTGCTTCTTTTCGATAGACATGAATTTTCTCTTAGCTTGTTAAGCTTAAAAGACTTTGAGGCAGGTTGAGCAAGGCAACATAAATATATTTCCGCCATATTTAATTCTTCCACGGTAAGACATCCGCCTGTACTTTTTGAAGCGGTAATATGCAAAAAAACGGATGATCCAAGCAACTTTCCATTTTAATCTAGTCTAAGTCAATATCGAAAGATTGACCGGCTAACATTGTGAATTTTGGTCGAAGTTCTTCACTCGTTACTGGCCATATCTCCTCAGCTTCCATTAAAAAGGATGGTCCATTAAACCACCGTGACGATGGACAAATGTCAAACGCTATCACTCCTAAAACGCGCCTACGGACTAATATTGAATGTTCTTTGATGATGGTGTCTAGGAGTCGTGTACTCAGAACTGCTGCTTGCAATTCCAGGCGGGGAATCGTCATTGACTGAAGTGGCGCACACCTTGCCTTGGCGAACACGAGGGCGACACATACTTGCCATCTGAATAAATTGATCTCCAGTAACCCGACAGCTCCAAAAACGCCCTCATTGGTGTCTAGCTGGGAAAATGGTGACTTTAACGCAGAAATCTACATTTTTATAGCGCTACTTATTTCTCTTCTCACCTATGAACTCGGGTAAAGGCTCATACCATCGCAGATTGTGGATCGAAAATGGACATCACTATACACAACAGTTCTCTTTTTGTGAGCACCTGTTGACGGCAGCAGCCGTGTCAAACACCAGACGCAACTTTTCCGTCTTGTTGCCATTCATCACCGAAAATGTGGGGTGTACCATGTGCAGCTTCATACGTTTGAAGCTTTCTGGTGGTCTGCTTGCTTACGTAATAATGAATGATTTCGCAATACACCCGGGGAATGCTTCATCTCGTTTCATCTTCCGCTCGATTCCCCCAGCCTTTTTTCAACCATGACGTAACTATCGGCCAACTTAATGGCGTCTGATTTCCAAAGAAGGTCTGTTTGAAAACGCCTTTTGACTTTTGTAACTGTTGACTCGATTATTCACGTTATCAGTGGGTGCAAATACTAACCAACCTAGTTGCTTTCTGGGGCTGAATCTCAACTGGCGGCTGGGTCTGAACTATGTCTTAATGTCTCATGTAGCAACCTATTATGCACTCTTTGGCACCGATTTGTTCCACAAGGTTTCCGGTGGCGACAATTTCGTGTGGTGTGGCCACTCTGAAGGTAAGAGAAACACAAATGATACTGCTTAATCTTAGCCCATCAGTCTGGAATACCAAGTGACTTTTATATTCTACAATCAAATAAGAAGTCTCCATCTTGGCACAGTTGAAATCCAATTTCTTTCATGCTGTTCGTGGCTCGAAATAGAACTCGACGCTCGTGTTCATTAAAGCAACATCGCCCACTCTCTTGTATGGTGCATATTAGGTCAGCTTTAGTGGAGTAGCTAAACACCTTGATGGTTGGATAAGGCCCACTCCAGTTTCTTACTCATGGACAATTTTGCCAGAAGATCTTCCAAAACAAAATAATTTTGTTGATTGCGGATTCCGATGTAACAGGTATTTCGCGCACTTGGCTTAGTTGTTTTCGGATCAGCAACTCCGGACGGCCGAAATGAAATCGCACTGTTTCTCGGGCTTTGCCATGAAGGTTTTTTTGTAGACGTTGATTATTCTCGAAGTTTGTACAATTGTATGTGGCGGTCGACTGTCCAAACGCTGCAGGGAATAATGGCCATTCTTCTGCACGTCCGTCAAAACTAGGCAAATCGTGCAATTTGCGCAGTAGTGAGAGCAAGTGCAAAAAATGCGTAGGTATAAAGTTAAATGCTTACTGCCTTAGCGACGGGACCGCACCTAATGGCGATGATGTAGCAGTCAATGTTGGCAACGAGTTCTTTAAACTGTAAGGTAGGTCCGTTTTTGTATGTGCCGCTATTAGCTGGGCAGTGGTACATGTAACGGAAGATTCTGGGGCTGCATTCGGATGTGACTTTGATGTGTCCTCTACTTGCGTTGCTCGATTTTATATGGAAGTCTTTAGCTGGCGGGTAAGGGACTAATTTGCTTTTGCATAGCCATGAGCATTTGTTGTTGACTCTCTGCAGTTGAAAAATTACTCGCACCAGATGATGCGCTTACCGGAGGATTGGATCCAGTGGCGACATCGTCGTTGGCCGATCTCCGGACAGTTTTTCATGATGCACCTTCCATTATACGAAGTAATTATTTCTCCGGTAAAATAAAATTAATATATGCTCGGCTTCTGAAGAATTAAAAAATTCATATGGCGTCTTGACGGCTAAATTCTTCTCAAGGCAGAGGCTATGTCAATGTTAAGTAGCTGCTTTTGGCATTCATGTAATGGCGGCTCACTTGAATGCGAATCAATGCGAAATAAAAATTGTCAACTTCCGAGGGCTATGGTTGTACGAACACAAGAAACAAACGCATTTCTGCATGTGCGTGTATATGCACACATTTATTTCTATAAAGAAGAAAATTATAATCTTATCTTATCTAGACATATGAAGAAAACGAATAAAGAAAGAAGAGTTTGAACGGACACTGCCATAATTCACAATAACGTCTACATAGGTTACTTACATAAGGTTACAAAAGTTTTTTTTTTTAAATATTCGCAGTTTTCTGACAATATAGCGCTTATAATTAATGCATTGTATTAAAAATTTATTGTATTACAATTACGAATCTTTTTTTTTCAAGTGTTCTAAAGGGTCGAAGATTTATGTTTAACTTGCTTTACAACAATTTGTCGCTTAGATTAGGAAGGATGACTGAAATACGAAAATGAGTTTGAAATTATTTTTTTGCGTAAGCCTCCCAAATAAATTTAACATTATTTTGTTTAAATAAAAGCCAAGCGGGAGTTTAATTTTCTTTCTAAACGCCACTTATCCTTCATTTTGTGCATTATTCTCGCTTCCGAAAACTTAAGAATGCATTATCACCTTCGTAATCAATTTTCGTTGTACGAAAAATATTAATATATTATAATTCAAAACCTTCAACAATCCTAATCAACGTGTTCTCAGTGATATTTGGGCGATTCCACTCTACTGCCACCACAACGATGAGAATACCATTAAATTTACTTTAGCCAAATTATATTTGTATACTTATTTTGTTAATATATCATTTATTTTAAAGCGTTCAATTTTTTTAATTTTAAATCAATTTTGTTTTGTTGACAAAAATCAGCTGTTTTTATTACTTTCTAGTTTTTGCTTAATGAAAATGCACAGCACCTATTTGCGCTATCTCGTTACTAATTTAACTGAGTTTTTGCCCTAAATAACGCGATTCAGTAAAATTGTTATTGCATATCTAGTCACCAAAAAAATTTAATGTCATTTGCATACACCAGAATATGAATTTCTTGACCTTCATATACTCGTACATATGTATGTCTATATTTTTCCATATATGTGAGATCAGAGATATTTAGCTCGCTCGTTTGAACAAGAAATAGGCAACAATTTGGAATAAAGTTGCCTTTGCCCACACACATATAATTCAGTCTTGTAATTAAAATTTACTTTAAAAAATCAAGGAAAGTCCAAACAAATTAGCCTTGCATACTGACATTCGGAAGCTCGGGTTCACATCCCGATGCCACCAACATCCAAAAGTTATGTAAAATTTATTTAAATAAAAAATTAAGTTAAATTTTATAATTGCGGTCGCACTACGGCAGAGAATTTTCACCCCTCCAAGTGGATTTCGGTCATGAAACAAAGGCTTTTCGTAAAAAAACAATCAGACGTTCGGTGGCGGCTTAGTATATACTGTAGGTCCCTCCATTTGTTGGAAAACATCAAGACGCAAATCCAGAAATTGGAGGAGGAGCTCGACCGAAAAATCACTTCAGCGGCTACAAAGCGCCAATTATTAAGTAGAACCCTGAAAGGAAACAAATAAAA